CTTGGTTTACCATTCATTGTGAACACCAATGAATGCTAAGTGCACGTGTACTAACAACACCGAAAGCAGCAGATCACAGATCACTCACACAGATACATTCTAAGTTTAAGCTACGTTTCGTTAACTTTAAAAAATGTTTTCCACCCAAAATATCTTGTCAAGTCTAAACATATAGTGTCAAGTTGAAGACAAACACCATCCAACACACGTTGCCCCTATGTTCCCCTATGTTCTCCTACTGTAGCCCCCTCCATGTTTCCAGCTGTTGTACTATTGATAGATCAGCGGACAGAGATATAAATATACCAGGAGCGGCTGGTTAGTCTGTAGAATTTCACTATAATTATTTACTTGCAACACGCACTGGATCCAACATGGACTCGTGAAGGTCACTAATGCAAGTATTCCATAGAAAACCTTCTCCTAAAAACGAAGTCAAGGACGTTCTGTGGAACACACACAGCATCCTCTTCCTGGAGTCCCACATGGAGGCGGGGATGGGGGTTAGAGGGTAGCTCATGCAGCTTCCCGGTCTGTTGATAAGGTTCAAGTTGTATATCTTTTTTCCTTCGAGACGACGTGGCTGTGGCGATACAAGTATATACAGTTGACAGGAACGCTGATGTGATTCTAGATACTGTTTGTCCAAGTGCCTGATTTCGGATGTCCACAGATTAGCCATGTACGTTTCTTATCGTAAATATCATTTCTCTGTAATACACGTTGTTTTACGCGAAGCTGTAGCGTGCACGATTCATGTTTACACACGACATATTTAACATGTGGAAACACGCAAGGATAATAATCTATTTACCGCATAATATCGTGCTTAAAATATTTGCCAAGTTATTTGTATTCACTTTAATCACTTTAGGAAGGTATATGTAGCCTGCGTTACCTGTTCAGGCTCCAATTTCTCGAAACAAACTTAAGTCTGAGTTTTGACTTAAGTTAGAGTTTTGACTTAAGTTAGAGTTTTTACTCAAATGTGAGAAGGCGCAGGTAAATGCATTACCCAAAATGAACTGAAATCGACATTAAACTCAAATTTAGTAGACAATTTGAGTTTGGTGGATAGATTTGTTTGGGCTTTTTTACTGCAAACATGGAGTTGAGTTACAAATTCATTTGTTTCAAATTATCAAACTCAGTTGGAAACTTGAGTAAAAACTTAAGTTTGCTTCGAGAAATCGGGGCCAGGATACAGTTCCGTAAGATGAACAGCCAAGTTGGAAGTTGTGATGAAGATGAGGAAGTAGGAAGATGAAAGAGAACTCTGGTCCGCAGAAAATATCATACAGTAAGCAAAGTATTTTGAATGACTCGTGTTCTGAATAATTTTTAACAAATTTTCGAGGAATAACAAATCATTGTTTTGTATTTAGTCAGTTCCATTTGATTTTAAATGAAACTATGGTGAAATTTGTTTGCGTTTTAATTGAATCGACGGAATTGGTATGAGAGAGAGTACATGCACACATACATATGGATGACGTGAATAAATAAATACATAACTTGAATGGTTAAAAAGTAGCAATTACTGTTCATCAAGGATTGGGTAAAATGCTCTTGAGAGATCCTCTAACACGTCCAAGCATACGTTAAGGGGACACTGGTTTCCGCATCTGGAAACACTTGTTCTCAGTATGAAGAATGGTAAGTCCAATACAACGTTGATGTTGATAATGATGATATGTATTGGGAACCTTTTCATGATGTCAATGAGGTAAAATTCGAATAAGACATAAGTGTGATAACTGAGGTGATTTGGAAATATGAAAAGCGCAAGGCCATGAGGATATCATAGCACAAATGTTGAAATGCTGTCAGTTTGATATCATGCCATTCTCCGAAATATAATCAAAATAAAATCTTTAATAAAGGTATTTTTCGAAAGTGTAGGGTTTTCTCTGTTTAATCCCGTTATAAAAGAAAGGGACCCAAAAATCCCGAAGACTGGAGGAGTATTTTGGGAAAGGTTTTCACACAAACTGATAACAATAGGTGTTTACCTGTAATATGCCCGATATACAACCTGACCCCTGGTTTCTGAATGAACTACTCTACTTCTAACTACATATTTACTAAAAATGAAACAGTTGTCATTAAACTGACATGGATTGTGTATCATTATACGATTTAACAAAAGCATTTGACACTGATGGTCGTTCTAAATTATGCAATGTATCATTAAAGTTGACCATAGATGTAAGATCTACTTCATCGTGAAAGTTGTGAACAGAAATGTTAAATCATGTATTTGTTGTGGATATGACGTCACAGACTGTCCTGATTGTCCGAATGGACTGCGTCAGGGGTTCACCCTAAGTCCTATTCTCTTCTCTTCTCCTTCTACCAAATCGTCAATGAATTGTACGTTGAAGTTCTGCATTATGGTAAACATTGTATGGTACAAATGTTCCCTAGATGTAACAGAACTTCTACTACTTCCCGTTGCGATGATGTAAGATTAGTATCAAACTCTATTGTTGGACTATAAACACAATAGAATGATGTAAGATTAGTATCAAACTCTATTGTTGGACTATAAACACAATAGAAGATTTTTGGAAAATATTGTAATCCATCTATACTGTCGCATAATTTGTATAAGAATATCATTGTAGCAATAATTGGAAGCGGTGGACTCTAGAAATGCTCTTGTCCAGAACAATCAATTCATGTTATCAATTTGTACACATATCATGGATTGGTATTTTTATACCCAATGAGTGAGTGAGTATGGTTTGAGCAGTATTTAGCAATATTCCAGCAATATCCCGGCTAGGGACAGCATTAATGAGTGAATAAGTATAGTTTTACGCCGCTTATTCAGTGATATTCCAGCACTATCACTGCCGGGGACACCAGAAATAGGCTTCACACATTGTACCCATGTGGGGAATCGAACCCGGGGAGCCCGGGTAGTCAGAATGATATGTGGACGCTTTAACTACTTGGCTACCCCACCGCCCCCAATTAATTTTCTAAACAAATACACATTAGACCTATCTTTACGTGGTGTAAAAGCTTCTATTCAAATATTCAGTGTGGCAGTGTTTTTAATTTTGAAATTCGTCCTAATGGATTTTTAAAACTTTTCGATACTCAAATACTAGCAGTTCGGCACTGTGGCTCCTACGTTTGATGGTTCCAAAGATTCGAATGCTTGAAAAAAGAATGGATGTTTAGGCACGTGATAATATCTTGGTGTGGGGCCCTATGCGCCGAATGTTATGGCTTATGCTGAAGGTGATAGGTAACCTCCACACATACGTTCACAAATAAGATGATTTACATTCTGGTTAAAACGTATGCACTGAGAACGCCTATCGAAAAAAGCTGACAATATACTTGTACATTAGTAATGCATACGTAAGATAACATGGTGTTCACACATTAGAACACTTCACTGTCATACTATGCTAGCATTGCCTGCTTGCCCCTGTCAGTTGGTAATGCTTTTGAAAGAATTCAAATATATTTTACTACGTAACTTCTAAATGTAAGTACACGCAATGAATCCTGTAGAGGTTTTAAATGTCTTTTGAACCTAGAAAATAGTTTCAGTATTCCCTTCTGAAATTTTACGTGTTTAAGTTGAGGGATATCGATTGGGTCTGTCAGAACTACTGACCAGGGTAGGAATAACTATAAGTACCTATACATAACAGAGAACGAGTATATGCAACAGAGGTGGGGAACATGAAATCCACTTTATCTTCACTTTATGTTAATAATTTGAGGCTTCAACAAATACCCCAACCGTATTTAATTAAAGCACCAAACATTGCGTTTTCTTCTTTAAGATGATGTACAATTTCCCGGCCCAAGGAAACAAGTTGACACAAACGCGTGGCTTTGTGTAGTAGTCATTACAGTACTGACGCGTAGCAGTAGCGGTAGCAACAGCAGTTGTAATAGTAGTGGTGGCAGTGGTAGAGGCAGTGGCAGTAGCAGTAATGGTAGTGCTAGTGGTAGTAGTAGTGGTAGTAGTAGCGATAGAGGCACACTCACTCACTCACTCACTCAATCGCTCACTCACTCACTCACTCACTCATTCAGTCAAAAAAAAAGGGATGTCAACACGTGCAACTACGAAGCTAAGATGTGACATGCCTGTTTCTGTCAGCGCGACTGGAAGTACCGGGTGCTTCCCCTACCGGGTGTATTTTGTAACTCACGACAACACTAACAACACGCTGGCAACAACAAAACACACCCAGCACTGACTGATTTGGTATCGACAATGGCTCGAGCTCTAGTGATAAAGTACAAAGATCATGTTTGTGTCTAATGTCTTTGAAATGTATTTATAGGGCCTCCTTAGAACTTGGAGCCATTTGATGTATTGTGACGATTTATATTCTGGGTAGAGAAGCAAGAAGGAAGCATTATGACACACACTGAGACACACGCACGCACACACACGCACACACACACACACACACACACACACACACACACACACACACACGCACGCACACACACACACACACACCCTCTCTCACACACACACACACATACACACACAAACACACCAACCACACCACACACGCCCCAAACACCCACACCCCTCCCCGACTTCTATGGCGCCGTCACATACATTCACTCCTTTGCTGAATTTCCCCATTTCTGATCACTTACTCATTCACTGAATTCGCTCACCTTCCAAGTCCACCCCCCACCCTCATATTTCCACGTAGCATCTCTGTCAGCCACCATCCAAAACACCAACTTCAGTCCAACCATCCATCTACCCACCCGCATGACGCCTTCTTCTGTCCACTACCCACTGACATACTCATTTAGCCGTTCACCAAGCCCCTTCCTTTACCACTCACATTAATACCCATTTGCTTCAATAACCCCACTCTCTTTACACTCACTCATTCGCCGACACACTCCTGTGATCACACACACACCAACCTGGTATAAGGAAGTACCAAGAAGATTATATATTTTGTATGAACCAAGAAGTATTCACGACGTGCGTGTTGTGGTGCCACCCTGTGTTTCCAGCTACTGTGCGGGAGGTGATATTCATCTACATTGACTCCGGTTACATTCGGGGAAAGCCCATATAGACATACGTATATCTTGCGTCAAGCATAAGTAAAGCCACACAGCGTAATACCCATGTAAAAAACACTATGTATTGGAAGGTTATTTTCAGGTCTGACGCGCCGGTGTGTGACGGGCTGGGTATAAATGGGTTGGCTGCACCACTGGGGCGATAACTGTCGCCTCCCGCAGCAGCATGACGTCAACACTGCAGCTTCTTCTAACTGTTGTCACCATAGTCTCAGCACAGCAAGAGCTGCTCAGTAAGTAGTTGTAATTCCTTCTTCATCAACCCTCCATATAGGAAATGTTGGGGTATGTTGGCTGGGTTTACTTGTTAAGGCTCCTAAGTGAGTGGTATGGATCAGACACCACAAATATCGTGCCTTTTTACAGTTTCTTTCAGTATGTCACCGCGTGTGAGGTGACATGCATACACTGCACTTCTTTACTTGTATCCTCATTTATCATCCTAAACTATGTTTCACTGGAGATATTGCTTGTGTGAGATCAAACGATATCTCCTAGGATTTCCTCACACAGCAAAATTAAGATATTTGGTTGCAAGACATATTGGAATAAGATGAAAATTTTATTAATACTATTCGACTCATCTCATCATTAAAGAATGTACATCTTGGACTCGTGGAGTTAACCTTTTTTCTTGTAACAAAGATCCCATCCTGCCAGATTAATATGTTTTTTTTTTGGGGGGGTGTGGGTGTGGTTATTCTCTGGCCTTGACGAAATGAACGGCATTTATTTTATTAGTTCCCCAAATTACAATATCACAGACATAACAGATAAAGCCGTGATACGGCTTAAAGTAATATAGCTACATGATGTAAAGATAAGATACCAATATATTAGTATATTCATAAACATGCATAAATCATTACATGAATCATGTATAGGTAACGTCGGGTACAAATCGATACAGTTTAGAGTCATCTAGTACTGGGGAGAGAAGGCTCCATTTGTCATTGAAATTATTATTTTTTTTTTTTTTTGTCAATGTATGATTTTCTATAAAGAATATTTCTTTAAGAGTTTTTATATATAAAGTTAGATTTGGAAACTCATTTTCTTTTAAACTGCAGATGTGAATATGTCTCTTCGCAGCAATGATGATGTGCTTTAGAATTCTATTTTCATATGGAGTACCGAACCAAATCATGTTTTTTGATAAAATTAATGGTTGAGGAAAACAAATTTTTAGAAGCCAAGTTTGTAGGTTTATCCAAAAGGTTTGAGTCTCCTGACATTCCCAGTACACATGACACACACTCCCATTTACATCTTTGTAAAAACAACACAAACTGTTGTCAACGTTTTTCATTTTGACCAATTCCTTTTTTGGTGTAAATAATACCTTGTAGAAATCTATATTGAAAGTCTATAAGCTTTGTATCTTGCAGTCCTTTCTAAATAAATATATTTTCCAATCAAAGTCAATTTCAGGAAATAAAAGCTGCCATTTATTACAAATGTTTAGGTATTTATCATTGCAACTGAGTTCATCATAAAAAATCCAGCAGCCTTTTGATGCTTACACTTAATTTATCTGGCATTGGTTAATATTCAAATAACTGACTGGGATAGAGTGACAGTGCTTTAAAGTATGTTTCCATGATTCAGGTAATATGTTCAGTAAATATGTAACATCTAAAAAAATACCTTTTGATATGATAACTTTCTTTTAATTATTATATTGATAGTAATCCGTTTTCATCACATATATTCCAATATTTATTATCCCTTTCTCTGCCCAATTCTTTATGAAATGTGTAGAGTTTTTAAAGTTGTGATTGAACCATAGTTGTTGGGATAAAATTTCATTAATGTTATTTGGGTCAACATAATGTTGTTTGTGAAGTAGTTTCCATGCTTTCAGCACATCATGCCAAAAAGGGTTTTCAGTCTCTTTCAGAATTTCCTCCAAGATTAAACATATCTTTAATAAAAGGTATTTTGCATGGATTTTGTTTTCACATTTTTTAAAAATAAATTCTTAAAGTGGATAACTTCAACTCATCAATAATCTATTTGTATCAATCATTCTCAATCTTCCTTCTTCATATCTATTTTTTATTACACTCCTCTTTATTTTATCATTTTTATCATTCCAAATGAATTTAAAAAATAGTTTTTCAAGCGAAGTAATAAATTCTGCTTCTGGGTTGGGCAAGAAATTGAAAATATGAACTAATTTGGAGATTGCTAGGGTTTTTATTACTGTTATTTTACCAATAAGTGTTAAATGTCTTTTTCTCTAAGATGCTAAGAGTCTATTAATTTCTTCCAGTCTTATTCTTGTGTTGATTACCCATAGTTTTTCAAGATCAGGAGTAAGTTTAATACCTAGTACATCAAATTCACCAGTAACCCATTCAATTGTCAGGCGATTACATATTTCATCAGTAGATTTAGCTTTTGATCCAATCCAGATAGCTTTTGATTTGTCTAACTTAATTTTCAAACCTGACATTTTATAAAATGCATTAATTGTGTCAAAAGCAAGATATAAACTCTTCTCGGTTCCATCAAGAAATAGTTCAGTATCATCGGCGTATTGATACAGCTTATATTCCTTATCATTGATGACAATACCTTTAATGTTTTCATTGTTTCTTATCGTACAACCAAGAATCTCAGCTACGAAAAAGAAAATTAAGGGGAAAGAGGGTCTCCCTGTCTACATCATCGTTCATTAGCAAAATATTCAGAGAGATTACCCTGTTGGATAACACAAGATGTTGTTTCAAAAGTCAATATATTTATCCATCTGATCATTTCAGGACCAAATTCAAATTTATGTAAAACTAGGTTGATAAAATCTTTAGAAACAGTGTCAAATGCTTTTTCAAAATCAATTAATTTTACTGGTCGGGTGATCATGAGTCCTTTCAGTGTGAAATTTGAAGGGGAGTGAGTCGATGTGTAAAGTTAGGTAATAATAGAGAGTCGAGAGTATCGGATGGTGACTAGGGTTATGTCACGGAAGAGAATCTGGTTGGACAAGTCCCTAAAGTAATAATTAATAGTTTAAATGAGATAATCTAAAACATTATAAATATCCTTCTAAAAGACTGGCGTCTAGACGTGTCTCTTAAAGGACAGAGTTACTATACATCCATGGGCTTCGCCTTCAGTACAGCCCAGGCTAGCTATTCTCGAAACGTTCGTAGCCCATTCTTAACACATTGGCTACGATCAAAGTTAAGAATTTTTACGGCTACGAACGTTTCGAGAATAAGGGCCCTTGAGCAAGGCTAGGGTAGAGGATACAAGCACTGTCTGGGTAGAGGATACAAGCACTGTCTGGGTAGAGGATACAAGCACTGTCTGGGTAGAGGATACAAGCACTGTCTGGGTAGAGGATACAAGCACTGTCTGGGTAGAGGATACAAGCACTGTCTGGGTAGAGGATACAAGCACTGTCTGGGTAGAGGATACAAGCACTGTCTGAAGGAGGAGGTAACTGTGCAGTATCCGGTCGTCGTGGTTGATATCGCCTCATCGTGCCCTGATTGATGGGTGTTCTAGTTCTATACTTTGCGTTGCCCAGACATGGCCAGGTGCTGCCTTCCGTGAGACCGTGTTTACTGCGGCGTTGTGCAGCATTAACTCACTCACCATGGCATACAACTGCATCCCGATTCACACAGTGAGCTGACACAATGTCGAACTGGAAAACAGTTCAAAGTGGCATTAAACCCAAAGCACTTCCTGGATTTGGCGCTTTACTAATGACTATGGAATCCGAGAAGGGACAGTGTCGCGTTGTCGCGTTGTCGCCCTCTCAAAAACAACAAAATGAGGCAAAATTAACCAACGCACGAAAGTGCGACAATGCGACAACGCGACATTTCGGCAATTTGTCGCATTGTAGCGATGTTGCATTGTCGCGTTTTGAATAATATTTTTCTATTCCTCAAAAAGGGCGACAATGCGACATAGCAACAATTGTCATGGTCAAAATATGTCGAATTGTCGCGTTGTCGTGCATTTTGGGGCTTTTTTGACACATCTTAGATGGGGCGACAATGCGACAACGCGACAATGTCCCTTCTCGGATTCCATTAATAACAGTGTGGTGCCGCTACTCATTGTCAGCAACATCTGTATAACCCCATAACGTTTCTAGAGTCGGGCGGCAAGGTACCCCAGCTGTTATAAGTTTCGTTTTGCCGAATTCCAGTACGATTCCGAACATTTACACGTTACATGAAGATCCCTATTGGTGCTCCTCTCTTGTTATAAAAGAAAACTTTAAAAAGAAACAGCGTAAGACCACATTTAAACATTCCATTCCCCATATCATCTGACTTTTTTCCTAATCCTACGAAAGTTATTAACGATATTTTGTCTATAACTCCCGTCTTAACTGTTTGATGAAGTATATTTTGTTGACAGCGTACGAGGACCACCCCTGTATACGTGAGTGTGTTGATGGCGCCCCTCCCATGACGTGCGAGTATAACTTCACCTTGGAATACTATCACGTGTTGAGCAAGGCCTGCTTCACGTGTCCTTTCAACATCACCGACTGCAACCGACCTCACTGTGTCGCTGCTGACGGCGTCCGGAGACCCATTATCACCGTCAACAGGATGCTGCCCGGTCCCGCCCTGCATGTAGGTGGAAACTAGCACTTCCTGGTCGTGTAACATGTCTATAACGGGAAGGCGCTTCTGGATGTAGGTTAGAAGGTCAGTTCGCACTGACTGTCTTGCTAGATCTTGTCATCACCTTCCTGTTCTCATGGGTTTCAATAAGCTAATGGAACGTAGTAGACACCGCAAGAAGGCTAGGAGATACTATGCAGAAACAGATGGGATGCAGCCACCGACGTTTATTTATGTCAGGGAGCTTGAGGACTCTACCAAGGGGTGTAGGACATAGTGGGTTTGTGAACACTGTCAGTGGGTTGCACGTCTCTACAGATGTATACTTTACAGACAGAGAGCTATGCCATAGATACAGCTGATTTGGGGTACCTTCTGAAGAAAGTATGTTTATCTGCTATTTAGAACAATTTTTCATTTTAAATAAATCGTTAAAAAAATATAATCTGAAAATGTTTCCACAAATATTGATTAACCCTGTCTGCATGTTGGAAGTGTATCTAGCCAAAACGTGATGAATATGTCTTCCGCAGGTCTGCCTAAACGATATGGTCGTTGTGAACGTGGACAACAGGATGGAAGGGTCTGAGAGCACCTCCATCCACTGGCACGGGGTCTTCCAGAAAGGTTCCCAGCATCATGACGGCGTCCCCATGATCACCCAGTGCCCCATCCCGCCTTCATCCAGCTTCCAGTACAGGTACGTCACTCTGACCACCCAATACCCCATCCCGCCTTCATCCAGCTTCCAGTACAGGTACGTCAATCTGACCACCCAGTACCCCATCTAGCCTTCAGCCAGCTTCCTGTACAGGTACGTCACTCTGACCACCCAGTACCCCATCCAGCCTTCAGCAAGCTTCCAGTACAGGTACGCTATCCTGACCACCCAGTACCCCATCCCGCCTTCATCCAGCCAGCTTCCAGTACAGGTACATCACTCTGACCACCCAGAACCCCACCCAGCCTTCATCAAGCTTCCAGTACAGGTACGCTATCCTGACCACCCAGTACCCCATCCCGCATTCATCCAGCTTCCAGTACAGGTACGTCACTCTGACCACCCAGTACCCCATCCAGCCTTCAGCCAGCTTCCAGTACAGGGACGCTATCCTGACCACCCAGTACCCCATCCCGCCTTCATCCAGCTTCCAGTACAGGTACGTTATCCTGACCACCCAGTACCCCATCCCGTCTTCAGCCAGCTTCCAGTACAGGTACGTCACTCTGACCACCCAGTACCCCATCCCGCCTTCATCCAGCTTCCAGTACAGGTACGTCACTCTGACCACCCAGTACCCCATCCCGCCTTCATCCAGCTTCCAGTACAGGAACGTTATCCTGACCACCCAGTACCCCATCCCGCCTTCATCCAGCTTCCAGTACAGGTACGTCACTCTGACCAGCCAGTACCCCATACCGCCTTCATCCAGCTTCCAGTACAGGTACTTTATCCTGACCACCCAGTACCCCATCCCGCCTTCAACCAGCTTCCAGTACAGGTACTTTATCCTGACCACCCAGTACCCCATCCCGCCTTCATCCAGCTTCCAGTACAGGTACGTCACTCTGACCACCCAGTACCCCATCCCGCCTTCATCCAGCTTCCAGTACAGGTACGTCACTCTGACCACCCAGTACCCCATCCCGCCTTCATCCAGCTTCCAGTACAGGTACGTCACTCTGACCACCCAGTACCCCATCCCGTCTTCAGCCATTTTCCAGTGCTGGTACGCCACTCTGGCAAAAATATTGTACTAGTAGAAGAGTGGTTCAACATCGGATGCGATTCCTCGGATGCTCACAGTGATCGTGATATTACTAGAATATGTTGCTCTCTCTCTTAAGAATTCGACTGTTACCTTAAGCTAATCAGGTAACTGCAAAGACCTGCGCCCTTTATACATTGTCGTGGGTTAGCTGGAGTTCTTGTGTCCATTGTCCTGAGTTCCTCGGCGATAGGCAGCCGTCATGAAACGATGCATCACCAACTCTATCAATCACTCGCTCTATCACTCACTCACTCACTCACTCACTGTTGCACGTGTCTGTGTACGCCAGGTTTAAGGCAGCCAATCGAGGCACCATGTATTGGCACTCCCACTCCGGGCTGCAGCGTAATGACGGCGTCTTTGGTGCTCTGATCATCCGGGAACCTAAATCACGTGACCCCTCGTCTAGCCTCTACGAGCATGACCTTCGTGAACATACCTTGGTTGTGCATGACTGGCTGACTCGCACGTCCACGACACGCTACACGGAGCTGCTGTATGTGGGTGCCTTCACCTCTAAAGTCACGATGCTTATTAACGGTAGGTTGTGTCTCCTTCCCTCAGTAACTACACCCTAAAACCATCTTACTCCGGCCAGCTGTTGTCTGAAGGATTATTGCATGTAGGTCTGCGGATGGTCGGTCTCTCATCGTGGGCTGGCATCCCTCGTTACCGTTCTCGGCGTGTTAGTGACATACATGTACTTCATCTAGTTTAAAAAAGACAAATCTCCGAACCCGTGATCCTAGTGTTCAAGGAGTTCATCAGTCCCAAAAGAAATTGAATGCGGGATAGAGTTTCTATAAAATTTCTAAATTTGAATTAACTCGAACGTATTTCAACATTGACACGTGACGCATGGTGTCTGCTTGTTCTGTTCAGGCCGCGGTGCCTACCAGGACTTCATCAACCCAAACACCAACGAGACGGTGTACACCCCGTACTCCGTGTTCCGTGTACAGAAGGACACCAGGTATCGCTTCCGGGTCATCAGCAGCGCCTTCCTGAAGTGCCCCATCCAGATCTCCGTAGACGACCATCAGGTCACCATGATTGCCAGTGATGGAGTTCCCTTCAACCCTGTCGTCGTCAGCTCATTCAACGTTTTCCCAGGAGAAAGGTTAATATAATACAACAATAATAAATAATATACAACAATACAATGTAATACAACTACCCATGTCTGTGCAGGTATGACTTGGTGGTACAGCTCTGATACCGTGTATATGCCCATGTCTGTGCAGATATGACTTGGTGGTATTGCCCTGACACCGTGTATATGCCCATGTCTGTGCCGGTATGACTTGGTGGTATTGCCCTGACACCGTAGAAATGCCCATGTCTGTGCAGATATGACTCGGTGGTACAGCCCTGACACAGTGTATATGCCCATGTCTGTCCAGGTATGACTTGGTGGTACAGCTCTGACACCGTGTATATGCCCATGTCTGTGCAGGTACAACTTGGTGGTACAACTCTGACACCGTGCATATGCCCATGTCTGTGCAGATACGACTCGGTGGTACAGCTCTGACACCGTGTATATGCCCATGTCTGTCCAGGTATGACTTGGTGGTACAACTCTGACACCGTGCATATGCCCATGTCTGTGCAGGTACGACTTTGTGCTGGATGCAGACCAGGTTGTGGGCAACTACTGGATCCGGGCTCGCGGCATGATCGACTGCGAAGGGGACAAGGCCAGACAGGTCGCCATCCTCAGATATGACAGCGCCCCAGAGACGGAGCCCAGTGCACCTACTGACTACGACAGTGCAGTGCGAATCGGGAAGGTAGGCGCCAAGCTACTAACAGACCCCCATAGACTTATATCCTAATATGATTCACGCACCCAATGTAGAAAACTCGTGTGAACACTTATTCAGTTTCGTATTTTTCTCTATAACGTAAATTCAAGATTCTTGCTTGTGTTTTGTGCCCCGCTGTGTGTGATCCCAGTGCCCATATTTGGAGTTTAAACCGGGTGGTCTTAATTTGTAACCTGGGTTAGTTGTGCCCTAGTACCTGACATCGCTGCTACCAACCACTCGTTGAGGCTGATTGAACAGGCAGCCGTGACAAAGTTTGATTATTGCTGTGACGTGCAGAAGTCGCTCACTCACATTAGAACCATTGTTAGGTTGATACACTCATCCTGCCTCAGTAAATACGCAGACACACGTCACTGATTAGTTGGCGTTCTAGAAGCTGCGGAGTAAACACGAAACACTGCTTCTTGGTTAGTGCATCCTCGGGTAAGTGCTCTTAGCGACCGTCAGTCAGCAAGATGCAATAGTCTAGAAGATGTCATTCATAAGGGCGCTTCCTTGAATATGCATGACTTTTGTTTCAACAACCAAACCATTTTTCCAGATCGTTTTCATATTGTTTTCTTTTCCTTCAGCTTTTGAATCCCCTGAACGACAAAGGGTCACCGGACAGAATGCCGGTGTCGTTGCTGAATGCCACTCTGGCTGATCCAGTTGATCTCAAGGAGAAGCCTGACAAGAAATTCTACCTTACAGTTGACTTTAACAAGGTCAACAACCACCACTTCCACCATGAACTGTACTACCCCATGTCGGCCACGGAGAAAGATCTACCCTCACCACAAGCCAACAACATCAACAACAAGGAACCCTCGGCGCCTCTACTGACACAGTACAACGATGTACCACAGGTATGTTGTTACTACTGACACAGTACAACGATGTACCACATGTATGTTGTTACTACTGACAAAGTACAACGATGTACCACAGGTATGTTGTTACTCCTGACACAGTACAACGATGTACCACAGGTATGTTGTTACTCCTGACACAGTACAACGATGTACCACATGTATGTTGTTACTACTGACAAAGTACAACGATGTACCAGAGGTATGTTGTTACTCCTGACACAGTACAACGATGTACCACAGGTATGTTGTTACTACTGACACAGTACAACGATGTACCACATGTATGTTGTTACTACTGACACAGTACAACGATGTACCACATGTATGTTGTTACTCCTGACACAGTACAACGATGTACCACATGTATGTTGTTACTACTGACACAGTACAACGATGTACCACATGTATGTTGTTACTCCTGACACAGTACAACGATGTACCACAGGTATGTTGTTACTCCTGACACAGTACAACGATGTATCACAGGTATGTTGTTACTACTGACACAGTACAATGATGTACCACATGTATGTTGTTACTCCTGACACAGTACAACGATGTACCACATGTATGTTGTTACTACTGACACAGTACAACGATGTACCACATGTATGTTGTTACTCCTGACACAGTACAACGATGTACCACATGTATGTTGTTACTCCTGACACTGTACAACGATGTACCACAGGTATGTTGTTACTACTGACACAGTACAACGATGTACCACAGGTATGTTGTTACTCCTGACACAGTACAACGATGTACCACAGGTATGTTGTTACTCCGAACAGTACAACGATGTACCACATGTATGTTGTTACTCCTGACACAGTACAACGATGTACCACATGTATGTTGTTACTCCTGACACAGTACAACGATGTACCACAGGTGTGTTGTTACTACTGACACAGTACAACGATGTTCCACATGTATGTTGTTACTCCTGACACAGTACAACGATGTACCACATGTATGTTGTTACTCCTGACACAGTACAACGATGTACCACATGTATGTTGTTACTACTGACACAGTACAACGATGTACCACAGGTATGTTGTTACTCCTGACACTGTACAACGATGTACCACATGTATGTTGTTACTACTGACACTGTACAACGATGTACCACAGGTATGTTGTTACTACTGACAAAGTACAACGATGTACCACATGTATGTTGTTACTCCGGACACAGTACAACGATGTACCACATGTATGTTGTTACTACTGACACAGTACAACGATGTACCACAGGTATATTGTTACTACTTACACTGTACAACGATGTACCACATGTATGTTGTTACTACTGACACAGTACCACGATGAACCACACGTGTGTTGTTACTACTGACACAGTACAACGATGTGCCACATGTACAATCGGCTGTTTCAGTCAAAGGTAGTTATTGTTATGTATTTGATCCTCCTGACTGACACGAGGCAATTCTCACTTCACATGCAGGTGATACATGATATTTCGACTACGAACAAGTGAAGCGGTGAAGGGAACGGGACCTTGTCCTATCTAAACAAAAGTCATTAAATGTTTTTCATGTGACACAAAACCAGATGGCCATGATTTTAAGACTGGTGTAAGCTGGTAGGTGTGTTGGCAAGCTTCTGAATCAGTATCCTTACAGGAACGTAGCGATTCTTACCTTGTGCAGTTGTCGCAGACACGCGAGGTTAACGTTTCGCTATATATCGATACACTGTGCACCATTTATTCCATTGTACACGCAATTCCACAATGCGAATGTTGCAGTTAGCAGAATGAATGTCATATAAACACTGTCAGGTAGTCTCTCACAACCTCTCTTCACTGTTCACGATGATACACTTTGAGACTAAAGGTCATGTGTTATTCTTACGAATCATGGGTGGATGGTCCAACAATGCAACTTGGGAGCATCGTTCTACCCTCTACTGCTTCCCCATTTAATGAAATGACTTACCCAACACAAGACTGCTCGATGTCTGTTTCAGGAACTGTTTTGTACCCCCGAGAACACCAGGAACTGCAGTAACCGCTACTGTGAGTGCATCAACGTCCTGAAGGTCGACTTGGACGACACGGTGGAGATCATCCTCATTGATGAAGGCTCATTCACCAGCACCAACCATCCCTTTCATCTCCATGGATACAACTTCCGGGTGGTTGCTATGGACAAGGTACGCGGTACTGTAAACATCGGGTCAGCTCGGGTTATTCCGTTAAATACGTGATAACTGAAGGGGGGGATGTTGAAAGACGGACCGCACACCAACAGACCCCTCCGCAGCCCTCAAAACTAAGGGCTATATAAGAGGATCTGTATGGGGTTATTAAGAAAGATCCATATGAACTAGAATGGATCGGGGACCCACATAACAGGGTTTAATATAAACTCCTTCGTAAAACAAAAGTTCGACGAATGTTCATATGTCCTTCAAATACGTGAACACAGGGACGAGAATTAGTCAAATGTAGCTGGGTGTAGTTAATGAATAATAATATATATTTATGCCGTTTTAAACAGTATAACGGCAACAGCACAACAGGCAGCTCCAAGAATGGGCCTCATACATCATAGCCATATGTGGAATCAAACCTGGGCCTAGATTCTTCCATATGAATCTGATCGGCTTACATCACGCTGAAACAGCCGGCAACCCAGCAAATTGCTGTCTCGTGTATTTGTTTTGCATCTACGCGTTTGCAGGTGTTAAAGAATTGGTCATACTATTAGCCGGGACGTTATCCACGGCGGACCTACACAGAATAAGCATACCTGCCTGCCAGGGTCAGATAGCTACAGCTTGTGTTTATGTCGTTCACACCTGTGTCCAGGGTCTGATAGCTACAGCTTGTGTTTATGTCGTTCACACCTGTGTGCCAGGGTCTGATAGCTACAGCTTGTGTTTATGTCGTTCACACCTGTGTGCCAGGGTCTGATAGCTACAGCTTGTGTTTATGTCGTTCACACCTGTGTGCCAGGGTCTGATAGCTACAGCTTGTGTTTATGTCGTTCACACCTGTGTCCAGGGTCTGATAGCTACAGCTTGTGTTTATGTCGTTCACACCTGTGTGCCAGGGTCTGATAGCTACAGCTTGTGTTTATGTCGTTCACAAACGTATTTAGACGCAGGAATACCTTGTAGATTGACATAGATATATAACCATCTTAACGTCGGGGTGACTGGTGTCAGACTTGTGTGACATATGTACATGGTTGTATCGATGTTGCCTTCGATGTTCAGATGCGGCTGATGTCCGATTTGGTTTGGTTGTTGTTTTACACCGCACTCAGCAATATTCCAGCTATATGACATCGGACTGTAAATAGTCGAGAAGACAGGACAGTCCAGTGATCATCGACATGAGCATCGACCTACTCACTTGATACAATGACATGACTGTGTCAACCAAGTCAGCGAGCCTGACCACCCGATCACGTTTGTCGCCTCTTACGACAACCATGGGTTGCTGAAGATCAATTCTAACCCGGATCTTCACGGGTCGGTTGACATGCGATGTAATGCGTAGCAGTGGCATACGAGGTATCAACAATGGGTATATGAAATAGCATATCTCAGCGGTTGATATGATACTATACATGGCTGGAATATTTTGAGGATTATTTCTTTCTTGACTGATATAAGGATTATAACAAGCTGGGTGGTTGTGGTTGTTATAACATGAGGGTTGATATGGCTGTTATAACATAAAGGGTTGACATGGGGATTATAACAAGCTGGGTGGTTGTGGCTGTTATAACATGAGGGTTGATATGGCTGTTATAACATAAAGGGTTGACATGGGGATTATAACAAGCTGGGTTGTTGTGGCTGTTATAACATGAGGGTTGATATGGCTGTTATAACATAAAGGGTTGACATGGGGATTATAACAAGCTGGGTGGTTGTGGCTGTTATAACATGAGGGTTGATATGGCTGTTATAACATAAAGGGTTGACATGGGGATTATAACATGCTGGGTGGTTGTAGCTGTTATAATATGAGGGTTGATATGGCTGTTATAACATAAAGGGTTGACATGGGGATTATAACAAGCTGGGTGGTTGTGGCTGTTATAACATGAGGGTTGACATGGGGATTATAACCTGCCGGGTGGTTGTGGCTGTTATAACATAAAGGGTTGATATGGGGATTATAACAAGCTGGGTGGTAGTGACTGTTATAACATAAAGGGTTGATATGGGGATTATAACATGTTGGGTGGTTGTGGCTGTTATAACATAAAGGGTTGATATGGGGATTATAAGATGTAGGGTGGTTGTGGCAGTTATAACATAAGGTTGACATGGGTATTATAACATGCTGGGTGGTTGTGGCTGTTATAACATTAAGGGTTGATATGGGGATTATAACCTGCCGGGTGGTTGTGGCTGTTATAACATAAAGGGTTGATATGAGGATTATAACATGCCGGGTGGTTGTGGTTGTTATAACATAAAGGGTTTATATGGGGATTATAACATGCTGGATGGTCGTGGCTGTTATAACATAAAGGGTTGATATGGGGATTATAACATGCTGGGTGGTTGTGGCTGTTATAACATAAAGGGTTGATTTCCGGATTATAGTATGCTGGGTGGTTGTGGCTGTTATAACATAAAGGGTTGATATGGGGGTTATAGTATGCTGGGTGGTTGTGGCTGTTATAACAAAAGGGTTGATATGGGGATTATAACATGCTGGGTGGTTGTGGCTGTTATAACATTAAGGGTTGATATGGGGATTATAACCTGCCGGGTGGTTGTGGCTGTTATAACAAAAAGGGTTGATATGAGGATTATAACATTATGGGTGGTTGTGGCTGTTATAACAAAAGGGTTGATATGGGGATCATAACATGCTGGGTGGTTGTGGTTGTTATAACATTAAGGGTTGATATGGGGGTTATAACATGCTGGGTGGTTGTGGCTATTATAACATAAAGGGTTGATATGCGGATTATAGTATGCTGGGTGGTTGTGGCTGTTATAACACAAAAGGGTTTATATGGGGATTATAACATTCTGGGTGGTTGTTATAACATAAGGGTTGATATGGGGGTTATAGTATGCTTGGTGGTTGTGGCTGTTATAACAAAAAGGATTGATATGGGGATTATAACATGCTGGGTGGTTGTGGCTGTTATAACACAAAAGGGTTTATATGGGGATTATAACATGCTGGGTGGTTGTGGTTGTTATAAGATAAAGGGTTGATATGGGGATTATAACATGCTGGGTGGTTGTGGCTGTTATAACATAAAGGGTTGATATGGGGGTTATAACATTCTGGGTGGTTGTGGCTGTTATAACATAAAGGGTTGATATGCGGATTATAGTATGCTGGGTGGTTGTAGCTGTTATAACATAAAGGGTTGATATGGGGGTTATAACATTCTGGGTGGTTGTGGTTGTTATAACATAAGGGTTGATATGGGGGTTATAGCATTCTGGGTGGTTGTGGCTGTTATAACATAAGGGTTGATATGGGGGTTATAATATGTTAGGTGGTCGTGGTTGTTATAACATAAAGGGTTGATATGGGGATTAACATGCTGGGTGGTTGTGTCAGTTATAACATAAAGGGTTGATATGGGATTATAACATGCTGGGTGGTTGTGGCTGTTATAACATAAAGGGTTGATATGGGGGTTATAACATGCTGGGTGGTTGTGGCTGTTATAACATAAAGGGTTGATATGCGGATTATAGTATGCTGGGTGGTTGTAGCTGTTATAACATAAAGGGTTGATATGGGGGTTATAACATTCTGGGTGGTTGTGGTTGTTATAACATAAGGGTTGATATGGGGGTTATAACATTCTGGGTGGTTGTGGCTGTTATAACATAAGGGTTGATATGGGGGTTATAATATGTTAGGTGGTCGTGGTTGTTATAACATAAAGGGTTGATATGGGGATTAACATGCTGGGTGGTTCTGTCAGTTATAACATAAAGGGTTGATATGGGATTATAACATGCTCAGTTGATGTGTTATACCAATAAGGATTGATATGAGGATTGTGTCTAGCTATTATGATTAAGTCAGTTAATATAAGGATTGTAAGATGTCATGACAATTTGACTTGATAGATACCATAACATACTTGCGGGTTACAACACGTGCATTTCCCTGTAGACAATATATGTATATAGTAAAATACCGTTAATAATCCCGGAAATATCCTAGCAATCAACTCATTTCCGGATTATCGAATGGTTGTTTTAAAATGACGGCATGCTGAAATATGTGAAGATGTTTCTACAAGCTCTTAACTTTGGTTCATCGTCTAGATAAACAGTTCCACCACTCTGCAAGAGGTAATGAAACTGGACACCGATGGTTTGATTAGCAGGAACCTTGTCACGCCAATAGCTAAAGATACCGTCACCATTCCAAATGGCGGCTACACAGTGGTCCGATTCAAGGCCAATAACCCAGGTATGTACTTCGGGACTAGAAGATATCACTTACACATCCTGTTACAACCAAGTGGTCGAGGGCGACCGGTGTATGTGACATGTGACATGCATGCTTACACTGCAGTGGTCTTGGAAACACGAGCCCGGACTGCCGCATTCCGATCAGGTGTGAAGTCCGGTGTGAAGTCCGGTGTCAGGACCTAGTGTACAGGGTGGGGTGCTGCATGTCGGTGTCAGTTTACGGCAAGCACTTTCTTATAGACATGACTTTCTTTTCTTAACAGGAGAATATACGACGGTAGGCAATGGCAACATCGACGCTTGCGTGATCAGGGTCGACATGCCGTATCAGAGAGCGGCGTGGCCATAAATGACAACATTCCGTTGGAAATCCGATCTGTTTGCGTTTTTCTTAGTTTATTACCTGAACGTCCGGGAGTAAATTGGGGGGAGACAAGTGAGTGAGTGAGTTTAGTTTTACGCCGCACTAAGCAATATTCCAGCTATAAGGCGGCCGTCTGTAAATAATCGAGTCTGGACCATACAATCCAGTGATCAACAGCATGAGCATCTATCTGCACAAATGGGAACCGATGACATGTGTCAACGAAGCCAGCGAGTCTGACCACCCGATCCCGTTAGTCGCTTCCTACGACAAGCATGGGTTACTGAAGGTTCATTCTAACCCGGACCTTCACGGGTCTCCCTATAGACAAGATAATAACACAGATAACCAACGTATTGTGGTATATAAGGTGATAACAATGATGCTGACGATGTAGACCACGATGACGTCACTGTTGCAGAATCAACGAGGATAGAAATTTCAACAATTTGAATAGTTTGATGGCTTAAAGGTCGCACTTTGCGATAGTCCTGCTATAGCACAGCGTACAAGTAGTAGTGGTGAATAGTGGTCAGGTGATTGGGAGGTCAGTTGGTCAGGAGACCAGGATGGCAGGAGGGCAGGTGCGCTTGGAGGTCAGGAGATCAGTAGATCAGGAGGGCAGGTGCGTTTGGAGGTCAGGAGATCAGGAGGGCAGGAGGGCAGAAGGTCATAACTCAGTTGGTCAGAAAGTGAGGAGGTCAGGTTGGATTAGACTAACAACTAGTCTCTGAAATGGACATATTTTACTGAAAAAAGTTCATTGTAAAAAAAATAAATATATAATTTAAAGGAGCCCTAAGACTTTCTTCATTTTCAGCCTGAAGCTGGGGAAATCTAGACTTGCCACATTTTCTATGACTTGCGTGGGCTTTCTTGGATATATTTGCTTCAGGGTCTGTACGACAGACTAAGGTGAGATCGATGTGTGTCCACTGATACATTGCTCGTGTTTTTCAGGTTTCTGGCTGTTCCACTGTCACGTGACATTCCACAGTCTGCTGGGTATGGGCGTGGTCATCCAGACTGGGGAGGTGTCCCATATGCCTCTCCCCCCTAAACGCTTCCCCATGTGCGGAAGCTGGCAGTACAGTGGAGAGTCTGACGGCGATCTGACATTTTGTAACTCAGGGCGTCGTCGAGGTTCTTCACTGACTGTGATAATACTGTGTATATCCATGTGGTTGTATTACTGTATACCCGTCCACAGGGACTCCACCAATGGTCAAATCTTTCAACTCCTGTGAACGCGACATGGAGCCCAATCATATATTTCTTATCTCAGGAAACAGAATATGTTCTTGCAAAACATATTTTGGTTAGGTGAGGTGAGGTGAAATTGGGTTTAACGTCGTGCTTGAGAATATTTCGCTCATATGACGACGTGCATGCGTGTGAACGTGTATGTGCGGCTGCTTGTACTAACCCAGACTGAAGCTGGTTTTATAGTGCTAGCTCACTGAGATACCATACCGCAGTGAAGCATGAATACCCCTTAGACACATTATACTGACTCCGAGCCGACCAGTCCTTGTTGTACCCATTAATGTCGAGCGCCAGGCAGGGACCAACAAGTACCATATTTTAACGTCTTTTGGTGTGACGCGGTCGGGGATCGAACCCGCGACCTTCCGCTCTCCGGGCAGACGCTCTAACCACTACACCACGGAGGCGGTCTTTTGGTTAGGTACTGTGTATATAACAATCCACCGTCCATGGCCACGTTAGTGAAGTAAGCACATTATAGACACCTGATATAGAGAGATGTAAATAAAAACAATGTATCTGATCAGGTTGACTTACATCGCTAAGACACTTGTCACCACTGTTGTATATAGTATGTAAGTATGTATAGAGTATAGAGTATATATTGTATGACAGAGGCCAGTTGATTCCATGTGAGGGCATCGGTGCAATACTTGGAAGGTCATTGATGGGTTTTGTCTGACAACCGCCAGCTATGAGTGGTCATATGCAGTGCATAGAAGGAGTAAGGTCGACATTGGAGCAGATTTGATAAATCAGTTATCAGGAAATTGGCAGACAATACGTTAGAATTAGGCTCAGGTAAGTCCTTTAGTCTGCAGACCAGGAAGTGATGGCAAGGAGACTATAACACGGAATATTTATAGGACAGACGGGGATTGGTGTACAAACTAGATTTGATTCTAGTTTTAGTGTGGATTTAACACAAACCATTTACTCAGTCTTAACTGACGGAAAGGTGTAGTGTATAATTGGACAGGAAAGGTGTACTTGGTCAATACAACTTGGAAATATAGAATCCGTCAGAGAGTACTATATGATGTATTATACATTGCAAATACACTTGTAAATAAACTTGGTGAATTTATTATAAATCAACTCGTTTGTTTTTGTAACATCAACTTGACATTGACACTTTATTTATGCTATGATAAACACACGTGATCCTCTAACAGGTAACTGATGTGTGTTTGATCACGGTGGTTATCTACCTGTTTACAGGTAACAGCTATGTGTTTGATGATGGAGGGGCTTTCTACCTGTTACAGGTAACAGCAGTGTGTTTGATCATGCCTGTTGTCTGCTTGTTACAGGTAACAGCAGTGTGTTTGATCATGCCTGTTATCTGCCTGTTACTGGTAACTGCTGTCTGTTTGATCATGCCTGTTGTCTGCTTCTTACAGGTAACTGATGTCTGTTTGATCGCGGGTGTTGTCTGCTTGTTACTAGTAACTGCTGTCTGTTTGGTCATGCCTGTTGTCTGCTTGTTACAGGTAACTGATGTCTGATCATGCCTGTTGTCTGCCTGTCACAGGTAACTGCTGTCTGTTTGATCACGGCTGTTGTCTGCTTGTTACAGGTAACTGATGTCTGTTAGATCATGCCTGTTGTGTGCCTGTTGCAGGTAACTGATGTCTGTTTGATCATGCCTGTTGTCTGCTTGTTACAGGTAACTGATGTCTCTTTGATCATGCCTGTTGTCTGCCTGTTACAGGTAACTAATGTCTCTTTGATCATGCCTGTTGTCTGCTTGTTACAGGTAACTGATGTCTGTTTGATCACGGCTGTTGTCTGCTTGTTACAGGTAACTGATGTCTATTTGATCATGCCTGTTGTCTGCTAGTTACAGGTAACTGATGTCTGTTTGATCATGCCTGTTGTGTGCCTGTTACAGGTAACTGATGTCTGTTTGATCATGCCTGTGGTCTGCTTGTTACAGGTAACTGATGTCTCTTTCATCATGCCTGTTGTGTGCCTGTTACAGGTAACTGATGTCTGTTTGATCATGCCTGTTGTCTGCCTGTTACAGGTAACTGCTGTCTATTTGATCACGGCTGTTGTCTGCTTGTTACATGTAACTGATATCTGTTTGATCATGCCTGTTGTCTGCTAGTTACAGGTAACTGATGTCTGTTTGATCATGCCTGTTGTCTGCTTGTTACATGTAACTAATGTCTGTTTGATCATGCCTGTTGTCTGCTTGTTACAGGTAACTGATGTGTGTTTAATGACATGTGTTATCTAGCTGTTACAGCTTACAGCTCTGTGTGAGATCACGGCGGTTGCCTGTTACAGGGAGGCTGTAACTGCTGTGTGTTTGATCACGATGGTAGTCTTCCTGATATCTTCTCAGATAACTATGGATGAACGACTTCTTTATTCAGGTGATGCGACGATACAGATTCCTGTATAGTTGTCAAGCAGGTTGTCATACGTGCTTCTAAACAATGCTACTCATAGAAGTAATCCTCCTCTCGGCATATTTTATTTCAATTGTACAGCTGTCTCTTGATCCAAGTATGACGTCAGATGACTACGATCGTTGATGGTGTAGTGTTGCATGAGAAATACAGCCCAAAAATAGCCAAACAAAACAAAAGCCATAAAGTCTATATTTCTTAGTGACGAAATGTCGACCCGGATACGTTCAGGTTGAGAGAAACTATGCACTCATGTTTCAAGGTAAATACAAGTGACACAGACAACGATTGGTTATTCGGTAAAGGGGTATTTGATATACTTGTGTTTTCAACCTTAGCTGCCCTTCGGTGACGTTCATCCTAGTAGCGTTGTATTGTTTTGTCAAATCCAATTGTCAAGTATACACTTTGTATATAGCCCGACAGTGGAGCTGGCGATGGTTTGACATGAAACATACATTCCAGCCCACCACATGTGTCGTCGCTATTGACAGTAAAGACTCCGCCCATACATTGGCTTTCTATATTCAAGTGATTAAAGCTGCCTTCAGTTGCTACTTGTAACTTGTTACTTGCAGCTAACATCATCCATACAAACAACAAGGTCCACGATGATCTGTCAGGCTACGACCACAGAATGGTAAAGACATTTAGACATGCGTGATGAAACATGAGCAGTTACCTGGTATACTGTAAACTGTGTTATAGGAAGGAAACTGTCTACCGTCATTTCAAGTGTTCGAGAAATAAATGTTCACATATCGTGTATAGATTCTCACAAGCCATCTTCGAACAACTATACTTCATGGAGCACCAGGAATGGTCTTCAGTTTTGACCACTGTACCGTAGTCGGGGTCTGGACACTACTACTGTCTACTAGACCACCTCATAGATCAGAATCAGGGAGTGACTGATAACTTACCGTGGTCTAAACAACCCACCCTTGTTAGCCCTAATTAGGAGAAATCTCAGTCACGCTGACACGTGTTCACAGTAGATTAGATGGCTCAACACATTCTGACCGCCACCTCCAGTATATGTCTGAGCGTAGGTTCCATGCATTTGCTATTTGGGGAATACAGACATCAGTACTTAGTTACGGAAAGCATGTGAAGACACCGGAACCTGGATGAATGGGCACTGATCAATGTCACTCCAAGGAAACATGTTGGAACCTGGAGAGACTTGGTCCCTTATATCTCACTGCTCATGCTATCCTAAACTTCCAGCTAGTTCACGCTCGACGTTATCTGGACAACAGTATGATCACATACACCGACTGGTGTCAACTCGATGTTCTGCGTGAAGTACTCAGTAGAGCGTCAGTAAAATCACAGTGCGTCACATGGATTGTCATGTCCATCACAACTGTTGTTAATACTGAACAGGTTATAGCATATATGACTGACACGACAAGCAAACAAACAGGCCATACATATAGAGATAACATGCGTTCGGAATGGCTATGTTGGGTATTAGGATATACTAGTGAATTGTTGCAGCGACGTTGAAATGCATACCTTGTACTAGTTAATCACCACATGGGAACATGTAACTTGATCTCGTGAACCAGTCATCACGTGGAAACATGTACCTTGTTCTCGTGAACCAGTCACCACGTGGGAACATGTACCTTGTTCTCGTTAACCAGTCACCACGTGGGAACATGTACCTTGTTCTCGTGAACCAGTCATCACGTGGGAACATGTACCTTGTTCTCGTGAACCAGTCACCACGTGGGAACATGTACCTTGTTCTCGTGAACCAGTCACCACGTGGGAACATGTACCTTGTTCTCGTGAACCAGTCATCACGTGGGAACATGTACCTTGTTTCTCGTTAACCAGTCATCACGTGGGAACATGAACCTTGTTCTCGTGAACCAGTCACCACGTGGGAACATGTACCTTGTTTCTCGTTAACCAGTCATCACGTGGGAACATGTACCTTGTTCTCGTTAACCAGTCACCACGTGGGAACATGTACCTTGTTTCTCGTTAACCAGTCATCACGTGGGAACATGTACCTTGTTCTCGTGAACCAGTCACCACGTGGGAACATGTAACTTGATCTCGTGAACCAGTCATCACGTGGAAACATGTACCTTGTTCTCGTGAACCAGTCACCACGTGGGAACATGTACCTTGTTCTCGTTAACCAGTCACCACGTGGGAACATGTACCTTGTTCTCGTGAACCAGTCATCACGTGGGAACATGTACCTTGTTCTCGTGAACCAGTCACCACGTGGGAACATGTACCTTGTTCTCGTGAACCAGTCACCACGTGGGAACATGTACCTTGTTCTCGTGAACCAGTCATCACGTGGGAACATGTAACTTGATCTCGTGAACCAGTCATCACGTGGAAACATGTACCTTGTTCTCGTGAACCAGTCACCACGTGGGAACATGTACCTTGTTCTCGTTAACCAGTCACCACGTGGGAACATGTACCTTGTTCTCGTGAACCAGTCATCACGTGGGAACATGTACCTTGTTCTCGTGAACCAGTCACCACGTGGGAACATGTACCTTGTTCTCGTGAACCAGTCACCACGTGGGAACATGTACCTTGTTCTCGTGAACCAGTCATCACGTGGGAACATGTACCTTGTTTCTCGTTAACCAGTCATCACGTGGGAACATGAACCTTGTTCTCGTGAACCAGTCACCACGTGGGAACATGTACCTTGTTTCTCGTTAACCAGTCATCACGTGGGAACATGTACCTTGTTCTCGTTAACCAGTCACCACGTGGGAACATGTACCTTGTTCTCGTTAACCAGTCATCACGTGGGAACATGTACCTTGTTCTCGTGAACCAGTCACCACGTGGGAACATGTACCTTGTTCTCGTTAACCAGTCACCACGTGGGAACATGTACCTTGTTTCTCGTTAACCAGTCACCACGTGGGAACATGTACCTTGTTCTCGTTAACCAGTCACCACGTGGGAACATGTACCTTGTTCTCGTTAACCAGTCATCACGTGGGAACATGTACCTTGTTCTCGTTAACCAGTCACCACGTGGGAACATGTACCTTGTTTCTCGTTAACCAGTCATCACGTGGGAACATGTACCTTGTTCTCGTGAACCAGTCACCACGTGGGAACATGTACCTTGTTCTCGTGAACCAGTCACCACGTGGGAACATGTACCTTGTTCTCGTGAACCAGTCACCACGTGGGAACATGTACCTTGTTCTCGTTAACCAGTCACCACGTGGGAACATGTACCTTGTTTCTCGTTAACCAGTCATCACGTGGGAACATGTACCTTGTTCTCGTGAACCAGTCACCACGTGGGAACATGTACCTTGTTCTCGTGAACCAGTCACCACGTGGGAACATGTACCTTGTTCTCGTGAACCAGTCACCACGTGGGAACATGTACCTTGTTCTCGTGAACCAGTCACCACGTGGGAACATGTACCTTGTTCTCGTTAACCAGTCACCACGTGGGAACATGTACCTTGTTCTCGTGAACCAGTCATCACGTGGGAACATGTACCTTGTTCTCGTGAACCAGTCACCACGTGGGAACATGTACCTTGTTCTCGTGAACCAGTCACCACGTGGGAACATGTACCTTGTTCTCGTGAACCAGTCACCACGTGGGAACATGTACCTTGTTCTCGTGAACCAGTCACCACGTGGGAACATGTACCTTGTTCTCGTGAACCAGTCACCACGTGGGAACATGTACCTTGTTCTCGTGAACCAGTCACCACGTGGGAACATGTACCTTGTTCTCGTTAACCAGTCACCACGTGGGAACATGTACCTTGTTCTCGTGAACCAGTCATCACGTGGGAACATGTACCTTGTTCTCGTGAACCAGTCACCACGTGGGAACATGAACCTTGTTCTCGTGAACCAGTCACCACGTGGGAACATGTACCTTGTTCTCGTTAACCAGTCACCACGTAACCCAGATATTCACGGGCGTGTGTTGGTGGACGCTTCAAGATTCGGAAACATGACGTAGCTGCTGGAGTCAATCCCAGACCAAACAAGACAAAATACAACAAAATGCATTTTATTTCACACACAGTATAAATGAACGTCGTATGTACTTTAAGAAAAGCGAAAACATAAGACGACCGCAGTGTGAGTATTTTAATTAAACAAACGTCGGAATTCCTTGTAAGCTCAATCTCCACAGCCCCTAATTCTAAAACAAAACATCCAGATTAGCGGGAGAAATATAAAGACGCCACGCCAGCTCTCGCCCGAGGTCTTCCACTTCCAAAGACGTTGTAGTGCGGTTACTACAATAAAAGGTCAGCCTGACCATTGCAGGGAAAACTCTGTCTTTTAGCGGAGCATTTATGTAAACCTTGGATCATAATACTTTGAGTGAGTTGTTTTGTTACCAGCATTTAAGTATGTGAGGTCAATACTGCAGGAAACACCTCTGAGGGCCGCGGGTAGAACTCTCACTGGTGAAACCCCCATGGATCCTGGATATCACAACCAGGGCTTGTCCGTGATTCGAACCTATTAACCGCGGATCCTGGAATGACTAAGGGACGAAATCCTTTCAGTTTAAGATATGGGTGATATAAGCATTGAAATATGCAAGTTTTTACATTAGATTACAAACTGTATACAAACTGTAAAATATTGAGTCAGTCAAAATATTTACTATAGGTATTGTATAGTATAGTACACTGTGTAGCTGCAGTCGGTACACGTACCGGATGTGACTCTATAGTTACAGCTAAATAGCAGCTACAATACAAGTGTAAACCATCAGTCAGACCACACAGGGAAGGATGCCTGTCAGCTATATACGATCTATGTGAAGGATGTATACAGTGATGCCGCTACATACAGTACAGAAGCATCAGTCCTATAAACCCACATCTAGCATCTGTTAAATAAACTATGTAACAATGTAACCGTATGTAACAATGTAATATCACTCTCAGTCCATGTACACAAACAAAAGGGGGATAACTTTAAACACGCGTAACAAGAATGTGATATTTTATAAAACTTATATATATATATATACCTGGGTATATGAGTGTATATGTTAATAGTATATGAAACAGTTCGAACTCTTGGAGAACGTGAACCTTGGTCACAGCAAACACATGGCCAATACTAGGTGTTACTTTATATGGAAACCATGATACATGCATATAATTTACGTATATAAAGTCCAATCATGAATTTTGTAAAACAGGTCTTATATTTCATTTTACATACATATTGTAGGTGCAACGTGTTGTATTGGGTAATCTATGTGTTTATGTTGTGTGGGGCTGTAATCATTTGGAAAGTTTCGTTAGTATTTCCTGAACCAGTAACAAAATATGAACTTGATGAAAGAACACAAACTGAAATACACTCATTCTGTGTCAATAATACCGGAAGTACATCATCTCGATTTGTCACGTTAAACTCACGGTCAGCCGGAAGTGATGCAGGCTCCGGACAGCAGTAACTGCAGGCCACAAAACCAATGGCATCCCACGTGAGGATGTTACCGCCGCCGCCGCTATGTACAGGTATAGACGATGATGATCCTGTGATTCCTTATCTTGTGACAAAAGCCACGAATATTCCTTCATCGAACCTGTCAGATGCAGCCGGAATAGACATAAACAATTAGGAGTAATGTGACACGACACGCGATGTTCAGTTTTAGCTGAAGCGATAAGCTGTAATGTACTTCCCATAATTCCAGGGTTCTATGCAACCCTGGCTCACCTTAAGAGTATTTTTATATCTCTACGTATACCTATTTCGCATCGCCATAGTCAATCTAAACAGCACATGCGCAAACACACCATGTACATCAGGTGTTGGTGACAGGAATCTTTCATCACGTGTAAAACACGACGATTATTTGCGATAGAAATATTTACATTAGCACGTCATGCACGTGCAATTATTCCGATCCATTTTTATGCGTCACAGTTCGTCAAATACAGTTCATCCTATCACTCATTTTATTGACCCACTTAATTTTTTATGATTAAAAAAGCCATGTTATCATCTCTTTATCATCAGTGTGTATAGAACTTCCTTCCGGATAAATCAAACTCATTCCAAAATATGACTCTGTCCCACATTTCAGACAAGACGTGTGTATAAACATGTAACTATGGTAACGATTAGACACGTGAGGGTGTGAATCTGCAGGTGACTACTGGTGGACCTTGTCGAGACAGTGTCCACCTGGTTGGCGGTCCAGGCTTTCAGTTTCTCGGTCAGGACATGCAGGGGCTTGTAGCCATACTCCAGAACCGACGAGTGGAACTCGCGAATATCAAACTGGTCTCCTGCAGTGAGAACATAAGAGTTACGATTGTAATCAGGTCTAAATTGGGATACGATAAAACATGATTACTACTTTAACCATGATCGCATAGTAATACGTGTGATATTTGGGATGACAGAGTACAGATTCTAGTACTTTTGGGTTGAGTACCATCCGGGACTTGAACCCACACTCCCAGAGTCAGGCACCTAAACGCCAGCAGACAAAGTCAGCCGTCTAACCCACTCAGCCATCACGACAAAGGTGCTAGAATCTCTACTCTTTCTGAATAGCATTGAATATTCACGATCTCACAGATGTATATGGCTCATTGTGGACAGTATCGGGTGCCCGTGTTTTAGTTAATCTGATGTTACAACTTACTTAAGTAACCTCCACTATGTTATGTAGGCCAGCGTATCGTGAGTATACATATCTTTTGGGACAAATGTTTTTATGATGCTTTTGTAAAACATATGTTTGTTTATTTTACAATTGTAATATCCAGAAATAAACTATTATTTGTCATGAGCTTCCTTCGGTTCTTTCTCTGCATGAGAGTTAACGCTTTCATCTCATTAAGGTATTGTCCCTGAAGAAGCACTTAGGTCCCGTTCCACACAAAAATTAACTTCGACATTGACGCTGTTTGTATCTGGAGTCGACGTATGCTGGATGTTCCACCTACCTAGCTTTTCCTCGGCCATTTTCCTCAGCTTCTTGATGGTCAACTCCCCGATCTTGTAGGAGCATGCTTGTCCAGGCCACGTGATATAGCGGTCCACCTCCACCTCGATGAATGGTCTCCCCTTGGCAGTGATGTTCAGCAGGTACTCGATAGCCTGATCGCGGTCCCAGCTGTGGAAGACAATACATGCTGAAACTCACCGTCAGCAGTTGGTTTCAGGAAAATAGTTTTATTCCTCTCATATTTTCATTGGGTAGGTGGTACAATTTTTAAATATTTATTAAGGTCATTTGTATGTTTTCCATTCCCAAGCCACCCCAACGATACGGAGAAAGTGTAAGTGTGCTATCTGTCCTTCGTTGTTGATGGTCCAATGTATGTTACATTTAGGATTACACGTTCTCAGTCATTAAGACGAATTACATAGCGTCAACCAGAAGAATTGCCTACATTAACAAGGCAGAAATTACATCATATTACTTTTGGATCGAGTCGACCTTTGGATAAGACACAATACCTTGTAATGTGGCATTACGTAAGTTGCGACTTCGGGATTTCCGGGTTCAGCATTCATTGTGTAATCCCATAAAACATATGCGCAACATACACCATCACACGCAGCAGTTTGTGTCCCTTCTTACCCGTAGTAATGGATACCAGTATCCACAACGAGGCGTCCCGCTCGGAAGATCTCGGAGCTGTACCGGCCCATCCTGTCAGGGGAGATAACCAGCATATATATGTGTGAAGGTGAAATGGAGGTTAACGTCGTGCTTACGAATATTTCGCTCATATGACGACGTGTATGCCATATGTGTGGCAGCTTGTACTAGCCCCGAGTGAAGCTGGTTTTATAGTGCTAGCTTAACCGCAGTGAAGCATGAATACACTATTCAGACACATTATACTGACTCCGAGCCGACCAGTCCTTGTTGTACCCATTACCCATTAATGCCGAGCCTCAGGCAGGGACCAACAAGTACCATATTTTAACGTCTTTTGGTATGACGCGGCCGGGGATCGAACTCGCGACCTACCGCTCGCCGGGCGGAAGCACTGACCACTATACCACGGAGGCGGCTTATATGTGTGAAGAGACAGAAGCATTGTTTGTAATATCTCATAACTTGTCCACTGTATCTAAACAAATCTGATAAGATACTAGCTATTCTGTTTCAGTTGTTTAATTCTGCAAATGTGTGCTTTTGGTTAAAACGTTTACCACAGTCATGGAGGTGCCAACGTGACAGGTCGTTACAAGAATAAGTTACGACGCTGACTTATTGGGGCTATGTACAGGACGCGATGGCATAGTAGTCCAAAACAGAGTGTAGGTGTAACACAGAATGAATTGAAACCAGTAGTTTTATCATTGATATAAAGATGCCTGTGTTGATTAAACATTATGTGAAAAGTATGTTTTTGTACAGTACATTTTGAATACAAGTGCTAATTTTATTACAGTTCGTTGCAGTGTGTTTCACACTAAATCCCTTCACGTATGAAATCAGGATTAACTTTAAATTTTGTTTCAGCTGGCAAAATCAGCGCGTAACAATTTCTTATATTTAATTTCAACTGACATGTATATATGTACGATAGGATTAGTAAGATTGTAGAAGGAGCTGCTGATATAAATGTTTCAAGATATTACTTTACACTGCCTTAAACTAGAGGCCCGCTTTACAGCAGAATGCCGTGCTGGTGCTGCAGGTGCTGTCTAAACAGCAAGATTCGTTTGTGTACAGAATAGATACTCACAGTTCATAGTCGTCTCGGTACAGCCCAAACTCCTCACCCAGTGACTCCGCATACAACGCCCAGCCCTGAAGTAGAGCACAGAGACAGATGCAGACTAAATCACCGCTCACACAGCGTGTTGTATCCCCTTTCTAAGTTGATAAATACTCATTTGGCTCCAGTATATCTAATTTGGAAGTGACGTCCCCACTTCCAGTGCTCACATCTCGTGAAGAGAATTTCACTGCACGGCGAGGCTAGTGGCGGATGTGTCCAGGGTGTATAACTGTATGGAGATGTATTTCCCTTGAATACTGAGGATGCACTGACTGCTTTTTCTCGCGATTTTGGTATGAACAAGTTCAAACGGCCAGCAGGATGACAAACATTTTAGCATCTCAAAATCTATATAATATGTCATCCTCGATAATCTCCAGTGGATACGTTACGATCACTGTCCACTATACCCTGGATGCTTCCACGGCTGATTTTTATTACCTCCCTTGGCTGGCTTTTTATCCAATCAGGTGTCTACGCTTGGAAGTTGAGCGAACCAATCACAACTGACTTTCGCTTCTCAACATATCTAACCGTTTAAACTTGGCAACACAATTGATGCAGAGGTACTCTGAAAGATGTAGAAGGAGTTCTTTTATATATTTTTTGAAAGTTTCAGATCTGTCAATTTGCCTGTATTATTTCCTAAAAGATTTGAGAGGTACTCCGAACAAACATTCGCAACTGCGACCGCTATATTTGTTGACACTGGCAAGCTCGGATGTAACGGCGGCTTAGCTGATTGGCTGCTGTGATAATGCGGAGCCAGCAAAGGGAGGTAATATAATTATCGGGCCAAGCCGCGGATGCATCCAGGGTATAGTGGAGAGTGATCGTAACGTATACCCTGGGGATTATCGAGGATGAAAAAAAGTGAGCTATCAAGCATATTCATTGTAATATGGTCATGCTGTTTTTGGTTATTTTTCATGTTAATATTCATTACAAAAGCACATAATTTGATGTACACTGTCGAGGCTTCATGGACGGATCTCTATGTCAGGACTACAACCAGCGTTATCGATACAGATGTACCGACTCAAACAAGCTCTGGTCGGTCGAGGACGAAATCCACAAAGTTCACCATACCTGACCAGCTGGCAAACACATAACAGTATCTAACCATGCTTGGAGCTACAAGGTTACAAGTTACGTGACTTATCCCACCGGGTACCCATTTTCTGTCGGGTGAATTGAGGCAATTTCGAACAAACTTACTTGAATAAGGTGAGATCACATGTGTGATTCGTTGTGGGGCTGAAATCCTAGAAACTCTCAGCAGGCTAGCTGTCAAACATTGTCACCCATCCAAGACTGCGTGACCAACGTTGCTCAACTTTAACTGATCTGTGACGTGGGCTCACCAGGCCACATACCACCAAAGCATGCTTTATGTCCTTGTCCATTGCACCTGTCAGTTTGTTTCTGCGAAACGTCAACTATTTCAATGTATTCGTTAAAGAGATCCGTTCGCCATTCACGACCTTGACCTTGCCAAGGTGACCTCAATACATCCTCTTCGTATTCTACAGTACTAACAGTGTTCGCCAAATATATAATAATCATAATAATAATAATGGATAGCATTTATATAGCGCAAATCTCCGCAAAGGACTCTTTGCGCTTGCTTTGTTTTTCCCTCGTTCACTGGATGTCAATCTCAACGGCACATCGTATTGTCAATCTCCACTCCCTGGGGAGCATACAACTCTTGCAGCAACTAGGCGCACCAAATTATTGTGGCATTCCCATCCTTACGTAGTACCCGAGGTATATATCTTGTAGCTCCTATATATATTTAACCTGGCCCAGATTTAGTTGACGTAAAAGGCGTAAAACAACAGTCACTCACTCATCTTTGGTGAGCCGACCAAGCGTAGGTTATACACGTGGTGAGCCGACCAAGCGTAGGTTGTACACGTGGTGAGCCGACCAAGCGTAGGTTGTACACGTGGTGAGCCGACCAAGCGTAGGTTGTACACGTGGTGAGCCGACCAAGCGTAGGTTGTACACGTGGTGAGCCGACCAAGCGTAGGTTGTACACGTGGTGAGCCGACCCAGCGCAGGTTGTACACGTGGTGAGCCGACCAAGCGTAGGTTGTACACGTCAACTGACTAGGGGAGACTACTCTGTGTGCCCGGACTTACCTCCGTGAAGGCTGAGTAGGCGGGGAAGGCGTAAGGCGCCTGGTAGTAGTGGGGGTGTTCCATGTACTTCATGAACCGGGGTGTGTTGGCAGACATGGCAGCGCTGATCTGGCAAACAGATAGTTGAAGTAAACAAGTCACCTTGTCTCTAAAGATACTCCGTAATGAACGTTACCTGAGGACATTTGAATACCTATCTGACAAACTCTGGAACCAGATATCACCATGGAGACACATTCCCTACTCCATTACTATCGCATGTAGATCAGTCGGTGTGAGTTGCTGGAAGAACTACAGAAAATATCCTCTCACTGTCGTCGGTTAGGTTATACACGTGGTGAGCCGACCAAGCGTAGGTTGTACACGTGGTGAGCCGACCAAGCGTAGGTTGTACACGTGGTGAGCCGACCAAGCGTAGGTTGTACACGTGGTGAGCCGACCAAACGTAGGTTGTACATGTGGTGAGCCGACCAAGCGTAGGTTGTACACGTGGTGAGCTGAAGTCCCTACTCCATTACTATCGCATGTAGATCAGTCGGTGTGAGTTGCTGGAAGAACTACAGAAAATATCCTCTCACTGTCGTCGGGAACACGTGTGAAGTATTTCTTTGTACTCAGTCCACTCTATTATTATTCCCAGTTAACTTTTAAGGGCACGATGGACAGGTTCTATTCTGATCAATACCCGGAAGTGCTGTAACGTGGCATCACTTCGTCTAATTGGTATAAATACATGGTGTATATGAAGCTTCACATCACAACTGATTACCTGGAAGTGATGCCCCGGGTTGGCCTCGTGCATCGCCAGCGACATGAACGTGTACACCGGCCTGGAAATAATCACAACAATTAACACCGGGTGTCCAACAAGGAATGGCCATTTAGGGACATATAATAATCTCCTGTTACTGACCTTATGGGTATCATGGATTACATGATGCACGTGGGATAAATGATACATGTGACAGTTGGATACATTTGGACACAGTTGGACACGAAGTATCCTGTCAGTACATACTTAGCCCAAGATGTCCCTTTCATCTGTTATATAACTTCTTTTTGTTATTTTTAAATTAGTATTTACCTACGAGATAACAAAAAGGGAGATAACCCTGTAAGACTATGTATGATCTGTAACATATGGACGGGGTTGGAGATGAGGGGGGACACCGAGGGGTTTCAGAAACTGTACCAATGTGGAGATTCAAGCTCGTGTACACTGGGCTACATGCCCCCCAGAACAACACAGTGACATTAGATGGGGTACCGGAGTGACACCTTGATGGGAGATAACCATTAGATGGGGTACCGGAAGTGTACACCTACATGACCCTCAGGAGAACAGACATTAGATGGGGTACATTAGATGGGGTACCGGAAGTGTACACCTACATGACCCCCAGGATAGCACAGTGACATTAGATGGGGTACCGGAAGTGTACACCTACATGACCCCCAGGAGATAACACAGGTACATTAGATGGGGTACCGGAAATGTACACCTACATGCCCCCCAGAACAACACAGGTACATTAGATGGGGTACCGGAAGTTTACACCTACATGACCCCCAGGAGATAACACAGTGACATTAGATGGGGTACCGGAAGTGTACACCTACATGACCCCCAGGAGATAACAGTGACATTAGATGGGGTACCGGAAGTGTACACCTACATGACCCTCAGGATAGCACAGTGACATTAGATGGGGTACCGGAAGTGTACACCTACATGACCCCCCGGATAGCACAGTGACATTAGATGGGGTACCGGAAGTGTACACCTACATGACCCCCAGGAGATAACACAGGTACATTAGATGGGGTACCGGAAATGTACACCTACATGACCCCCAGGAGATAACACAGGTACATAAGATGGGGTACCGGAAGTTTACACCTACATGACCCCCAGGAGATAACACAGTGACATTAGATGGAGTACCGGAAGTGTACATCTACATGACCCCCAGGATAACACAGGTACATTAGATGGGGTACCGGAAGTGTACACCTACATGACCCCCAGGATAGCACAGTGACATTAGATGGGGTACCGGAAGTGTACACCTACATGACCCCCAGGATAACGCAGTGACATTAGATGGGGTACCGGAAGTGTACACCTACATGACCCCCAGCATAGCACAGTGACATTAGATGGGGTACCGGAAGTGTACACCTACATGACCCCCAGGATAGCACAGTGACATTAGATGGGGTACCGGAAGTGTACACCTACATGACCCCCAGGATAGCACAGTGACATTAGATGGGGTACCGGAAGTGTACACCTACATGACCCCCAGGAGATAACAAAGGTACATTAGATGGGGTACCGGAAGTGTACACCTACATGACCCCCAGGAGATAACACAGTGACATTAGATGGGGTACCGGAAGTGTACACCTACATGACCCCCAGGAAATAACACAGGTACATTAGATGGGGTACCGGAAGTGTACACCTACATGACCCCCAGGAGATAACACAGGTACATTAGATGGGGTACCGGAAGTGTACACCTACATGACCCCCAGGATAACACAGTGACATTAGATGGGGTACCGGCAGTGTACACCTACATGACCCCCAGCAGATAACACAGTGACATTAGATGGGGTACCGGAAGTGTACACCTACATGACCCTCAGGATAGCACAGTGACATTAGATGGGGTACCGGAAGTGTACACCTACATGACCCCCAGGAGATAACACAGTGACATTAGATGGGGTACCGGAAGTGTACACCTACATGACCCCCAGGAGATAACACAGTGACATTAGATGGGGTACCGGAAGTGTACACCTACATGACCCCCAGGAGATAACACAGGTACATTAGATGGGGTACCGGAAGTGTACACCTACATGACCCCCAGCATAGCACAGTGACATTAGATGGGGTACCGGAAGTGTACACCTACATGACCCCCAGCAGATAACACAGGTACATTAGATGGGGTACCGGAAGTGTACACCTACATGACCCCCAGGATAGCACAGGTACATTAGATGGGGTACCGGAAGTGTACACCTACATGACCCCCAGGATAGCACAGTGACATTAGATGGGGTACCGGAAGTGTACACCTACATGTTTCGGGGGTGCATCACGTTGGCGATGAAGGTAGCGGGGATGGATCCGTCTGGGGAGGGACGTGAGTAGCGGCCTGCCGGACCGTCAGACATCATCGGCACCACTCTGAAACAACATCACTGACACCTCTTAGAAACAAGAAAAGAGGTCTGTCAGACATTCTGGACGTCACTCTGAAAAAACCGCTGCATGCATGTGACTGCATGCTCATCGATATAACTAGACAAATCATGCAGTAGCCTTATCGTCTTTCTCTCCACCCTCTCTACTGTCTCTGTCAAACCAGTGGACGATATTATGACCAAGTACAGGATTGTTATGACTGGTGTGGCAGTGAATACTTGCCGCCTCCACTACACACCCTGTCTGCTGTAGATGACACTCACTCGATATCAAACTTGGGCATTTCGTAGAACATCTCTGGCAGGTATGGGTTGATTCTGTGCTTGATCATATCCCGGAACTCCTGTAGAATGTCCGCCTGCACAGAGAATGCTGAGTAAAACGTGACGTTTCTCACAGACAAATGTTTTTTCGGGGGCCTGACATATTATTTCTTTTGTCTGAAAACAAGAGCCACCCTATTCATTTGAACAACGAACCTATCAAACTTTTACGATGGGCGTTCAATAGTTTTGCAACTTGGTCATTTGTATTTACCCAAACCATATCCACTTTTGGCAGGTAAGACACTAGTCCTACAGTCAGGTTGACACGTGTCATAACATCAGGTTGACACGTGTCATAACATGTTCCAAACACAACAATAAGTCCGACGGGTGGTCACAATCATGGATTATCTCAAACATGAACAACGCGCTGTAATAAAGCTCCTTACCAAGAACGGATGCAAAGCAAAAGAAATGTGTAAAGTGATGGTTAAGGGTGCTCCTGACTTACTGTGTGACTATTCCACAGTTTGTCGTTGGTCTCTACAGTTTAAAAAGAGTGGGGAGTCCATAGACGATGACCCAAGGTCAGACAGGCCTTCAGATGCCACCCAATCGGAAACCATAGCTGCTATAGAAAGATGAAATTTGTCTTACTGACTAATGAACGTCTCTGAACTTTCTAAAGAAATTGAATTTGAACTGTTGAAACCATTATTCATGAGCATCTTGGTATGTCCAAGGTGCTCAAGAACGCCATCAGAGAACTGAAAGTTGTCGAGGGCTGCTGTGTCTCTATACTGCTGATGAAGCTGGATTTCCTTCTCGTCTTGTGACAGGTGACGAAACATGGATCCGCCACTGGGACCCAGAAACTAAATTGGATTCCATGCAATGGAAGCACCCCACTTCTCCGCATCCGAAGAAGTTTCGCACTCAACCATCGGCTGGCAAGGTAATGGCCATCATACTTTGGGATACAAGAGGCATATAACTTATTGGTTATATGCCACCAAGAACTATAATCAATGGACAGAGTTACGCTAATTTATGAGAAAGATTTGTAAAAATCTATTCGCCAGAAACGAATGAAAGTATCTGAACTTTCCAAGGAATTCCAAATATCAGTTGGAACTGTAGAAACCATATAACGGGATGTCAATTCGTGGTGTTCTACTTTTGCACGACAACGCTCCGGTTCACAGGTCGAGAATTACACAGGCCGCCATACGTGAATGTGGATTCGAACAAGTAAAGCCCCCACCTTACAGCTACTATCTAGCCCCCGGTGACTATTTCCTGTTCTGGCAAATGAAATCTGCCCTACGTGGAAGAGGCTTCCAGGATGACGAGAACATAAAGGCTGCCACAGAGGTGTGGTTAGTGAGCCAATCTTCCAGGATGACGAGAACATAAAGGCTGCCACAGAGGTGTGGTTAGTGAGCCAATCTTCCAGGATGACGAGGACATAAAAGCTGCAACAGAGGTGTGGTTAGTGAGCCAATCTTCCAGGATGACGAGGACATAAAGACAGAGGTGTGGTTAGTGAGCCAATCTTCCAGGATGACGAGGACATAAAAGCTGCAACAGAGGTGTGGTTAGTGAGCCAATCTTCCAGGATGACAACATAAAAAGCTGCAACAGAGGTGTGGTTAGTGAGCCAATCTTCCAGGATGACGAGGACATAAAAGCTGCAACAGAGGTGTGGTTAGTGAGCCAATCTTCCAGGATGACGAGGACATAAAAGCTGCCATAGAGGTGTGGTTAGTGAGCCAATCTTCCAGGATGACGAGGACATAAAAGCTGCCACAGAGGTGTGGTTAGTGAGCCAATCAGGATGACGAGGACATAAAGAGCTGCCACAGAGGTGTGGTTAGTGAGCCAATCTTCCAGGATGACGAGGACATAAAGGCTGCCACAGAGGTGTGGTTAGTGAGCCAATCTTCCAGGATGACGAGGACATAAAGCTGCTGGTGTGGTTAGTGAGCCAATCTTCCAGGATGACGAGGACATGTGTGGTTAGTGAGCCAATCTTCCAGGATGACGAGGACATAAAAGCTGCCACAGAGGTGTGGTTAGTGAGCCAATCTTCCAGGATGACGAGGACATAAAAGCTGCCACAGAGGTGTGGTTAGTGAGCCAATCTTCCAGGATGACGAGGACATAAAAGCTGCCACAGAGGTGTGGTTAGTGAGCCAATCTTCCAGGATGACGAGGACATAAAAGCTGCCACAGAGGTGTGGTTAGTGAGCCAATCTTCCAGGATGACGAGGACATAAAAGCTGCCACAGAGGTGTGGTTAGTGAGCCAATCTTCCAGGATGACGAGGACATAAAAGCTGCCACAGAGGTGTGGTTAGTGAGGCTGCCAATCTTCCAGGATGACGAGGACATAAAGGCAGCAACAGAGGTGTGGTTAGTGAGCCAATCTTCCAGGATGACGAGGACATAAAAGCTGCCACAGAGGTGTGGTTAGTGAGCCAATCTTCCAGGATGACGAGGACATAAAAGCTGCCACAGAGGTGTGGTTAGTGAGCCAATCTTCCAGGATGACGAGGACATAAAAGCTGCAGAGGTGTGGTTAGTGAGCCAATCTTCCAGGATGACGAGAGGTGCCACAGAGGTGTGGTTAGTGAGCCAATCTTCCAGGATGACGAGGACATAAAGCAGCAACAGAGGTGTGGTTAGTGAGCCAATCTTCCAGGATGACGAGGACATAAAAGCTGCCACAGAGGTGTGGTTAGTGAGCCAATCTTCCAGGATGACGAGGACATAAAAGCTGCCACAGAGGTGTGGTTAGTGAGCCAATCTTCCAGGATGACGAGGACATAAAAGCTGCAACAGAGGTGTGGTTAGTGAGCCAATCTTCCAGGATGACGAGGACATAAAAGCTGCCACAGAGGTGTGGTTAGTGAGCCAATCTTCCAGGATGACGAGGACATAAAAGCTGCCAACAGAGGTGTGGTTAGTGAGCCAATCTTCCAGGATGACGAGGACATAAAAGCTGCCACAGAGGTGTGGTTAGTGAGCCAATCTTCCAGGATGACGAGGACATCTTCCAGGAACGAGCATGCTGCACAGAGGTGTGGTTAGTGAGCCAATCTTCCAGGATGACGAGGACATAAAAGCTGCCACAGAGGTGTGCCTAGAGTGCCAATTAGTGAGCCAATCTTCCAGGATGACGAGGACATAAAAGCTGCCACAGAGGTGTGGTTAGTGAGCCAATCTTCCAGGATGACTAGGACATAAAAGCTGCCACAGCGGTGTGCCTAGAGTGCCAATCTTCCAGGATGACGAGGACATAAAAGCTGCCACAGAGGTGTGGTTAGTGAGCCAATCTTCCAGGATGACGAGGACATAAAGGCTGCCATAGAGGTGTGGTTAGTGAGCCAATCTTCCAGGATGACTAGGACATAAAGGCAGGAACAGAGGTGTGGTTAGTGAGCCAATCTTCCAGGATGACGAGGACATAAAGGCTGGTGAATGGAAATTCTATTGAAAATATAAAGCAAAAAAGCAAAGTTTTCATGCGACTTGGTCTTATATTGAAGTTTCAAAACATATTTAACGCCCCTCGTATATTTACAGCTGAGGAATCGATAGGTTTGCTTCCAGTCGATGCTTGGCACACAAGACCTGTGCCTTGCCTAGAAGAATTTAATTACGAGTGAACCTGGACATTATATGACGTCATCGAGGTGTACTCAACAAACAAGGCATTGATCAAACCCTCATAGCCGCCCTGCATAAATAGTTCCGGATAGTTCGGGGTCCGGACAAACGAGGCTTCAATGTTCGTTGTATAGTCTCATTTAATGTTTACATACCGGGCTACTCTTGAAGAAACGCTGGTCTTCGCTTAATGACTGGAAATATTCTGCGACTGTGCCCGTGAAATTCTGTCTTTCCATAATCTAAAAACGAAACAATATATGGTTTTATTCATATAAATGGATAGGTAATATCAACAAGGACGAGTTTTCCCAAAAATCAGTATCCACGAAGACCGCTCAGCAATTATATATAAACTTATATTTAAAATTCTATACCCAAACTTGCACGACACTAGAAGGTGTGACTGAACATGATACAGGACACAGCTGTATAAGGCATGGTCTCACTCTGCACGGCATTCCCATCTCAGCCAACTTCGGGATGAATTCGTACATGAACAAGCTATAAAACCTTCACTAGTTCACGTGACTATCACAAAACACCTATCACTGGTGTCAAATGTCACACCTTCATAAATGTTGATCTGTGTCACGTTTACAAATAAACAAGAATATTGAAGGTCGTTTCTCGGAATCTGCTGCAGTGGAGTGCTAACTTTATATCGTGGGGTGGATATGCGGTTGACATGATGGCAATATCACCATCACACTGAAGCCCGAGAATAAATAGTGGAAAATGCCCCACACTTCCCTAATACTTTCGTGAACCAGGGGAGATAACTCTAGTCACCCACCTCGCTCATCCTCTCTTTGATTCGCTCTACCTCCTTCAAACCAAGTTCATGCACCTCTTCGGCGGTGATGTTGACAGACGTGTACCACCTCAAACAGGCTTCGTAGTAGTCTTTGTTGACACCGTAGCTGCGCCGAGTCCTTGGGATGTACATCTGGGCGATATGTATGTCATGTAGAAACACAAAGATTGCCATGATGATGATGATGATGATGGTGATGATGATGGTAGCTTTTGGAGTTATAAACAAGGTATACAAGTTCACAGATATGTATTACGTGTTTCTGGTTAGTCGGTGATGCAAACGGAAGGGTTTCATTTCACCATTAACGGTCGTGTAGTTGATTTCCCCTATTAACGAGATACAGATGGGATACATTTTCTTACCGCACGGAGCCAGTTGAGGAACATCCGGTATGACTGCAGTAACTTCCGGGTCGCCTCATAGCCATGGCGCCTGATGTCACTCCTGGAGACATACAACAGACACCCTTCTCGTCAAAACATTGTCGTGTAGGGCTAGCTATTGTCTCTGTCATATACCTATCACCCAATGGTATCATACACCCTATGTCATCATACACCTGTCACCCTATGATATCATACACCTGTCACCCTATGATGTCATACACCTGTCACCCTATGATGTAATACACCTGTCACCCTATGATGTCATACACCTTTCACCCTATGATGTCATACACCTGTCACCTATGATGTCATACACCTGTCACCCTATGATGTCATACACCTGTCACCCTATGATGTCATACACCTGTCACCCGAAGATGTCATATACCTGTCACCCTATGTCATCATACACTTGTCACCCTATGCCATAATACACCTGCCACCCTATGACATCATACACCTGTCACGCAATGGTATCATACACCTGTCACCCTATGATGTCATACACCTGTCACCCTAAGATGTCATATACCTCCCACCCTATGTCATCATACACCTGTCACCCTATAACATCATACACCTGTCACCCTATGTCATCATACACTTGTCACCCAATGGTATCATACACCTGTCATCCTATGTCATCATACACCTGTCACCCTATGTCATCATACACCTGTCACCCTATGATATCATACACCTGTCACCCTATTTCATCATACACCTAATACCCTATATCATCATACACCTGTCACCCCATGATATCATACACCTATCACCCTATGATGTCATACACCTGTCACCCTATGATGCCATACACCTGTCACCTTACGATGTCATACACCTGTCACCCTGTCATCGTATACTTGTCACCGTATGATATCATACACCTGTCATCCTATATCATCATATACCTGTAACTCTATGTTATCATACACCTGTCACCCTATGTCACCGTACACATGTCACTCTATGTTATACACCTGTCACCCTATGATATCATACACCTGTCAACCTATGTCATCATACACCTGTCACTCTATGTCATCATACACCTATCACCCTATGATAACATACACCTGTCACCCTATGTCATCATATACCTGTAACCCTATGATATCATGCACCTGTCACCCTATGTCATCATATACCTGTAACCCTATGATATCATACACCTGTCACCCTATGTCATCATACACCTATCACCCTATGATATCATACACCTGTCATCCTATGTCATCATATACCAATCACCCATTAAAGTGTGTGTTAGTAGAACCAGTTCGTGTTTTCTTCTGCATTGACACATAACCAGCGTTGAGTCCAAAAGGCCTTAGGCTCAAACTCAATAATTGACATAACAAGTGACCACGTGGGTCCAGTACCTCCGTCAACAGACCTGCCTCATAGAACTATCACGCTGTCCTCAGGTCCAAATGAATATTACTGATGTGACGATCGTTCTCTCACTCACTCACTCACTCACTGACATCACCCTCATTGTCGTTTCCGTCTCATCTCGTGAAGCACAGATCACTCCCTCAGCATCTTGACGGTTCTTTATGGAATCCCACTCACTAATTCTACCACAAGTAAAGATCGTGCATACTGCAATTATTGTATAATTAGTTGTAGGCTAGCACCATCGCCAGGTGACATGCGCACTGGCCTGTCGATGTACGAGTCAGTTCTGTTAGTCAAGTCGTGTTGACTGGTCGTGCTTGTTGGTTGTGTCCAGCCAGTAGTTCACCGAACATACGTGCGAACATAACACATACCACTGGGCATGAAGTGAGACATGGATGAGATAGACAGTGAGTGTGCCATCACCCTTGCCGAGCAAACATGCAACCTGGAATAACAGCGGGATTACACTGAGGTGTCTCCCCACTGTGTTCAGACAGGGAAGAAACAGACAGCGACCCTTGTTACTATGAACTATAATACATTTAAGGTTGTTTTGCCAGGTTCAGACACTAAATACAAACATCTGTATGAAACAACCAACACCATGTCCTGACACTAAATACAATCATCTGTATGAAACAACCAACACCATGTCCAGACAGCAGGTTGAGATGGGACGAAGGACGCACCTTTACAGTGTAAAATATTCACACTAGCCACTCACGTCCTACGTACATTAACAGGTAGGAAAATAGATATTAATGGAATAGAGGATGTGTTTCCAGGGTGATCTTTTGATGTTGAGTTAGGCAGATGTTCATTTCCGTGTCTGCACGTGCTATCCTCTGCAGTAGTATCAAAGTTGACTTGTTAATTTCAATCTTCTCCAAGTGCTAAATGATTCGTCACGTGTTTGCCATGTCCGCCAACACCCCCGGTTCATGAAGTACATACACACCGCCACCCCACCCCCGCTACTACCAGGTGACTCCCCCCCAACCCCTACACAGCAGGTGCAGGTGCAGGTGCAGGTGCAGGTGCAGGTGCAGGTGCAGGTGCAGGTGCAGGTTCCACTACACCACATGCTCCTAGAGCGACTAGCGTATGTAAACACCTGGAGATACAGAGACGACATGTGACAGCTGTGATTGGATGGAATAGTGTAGGATTTTTATGCTTTCTTAAAAGCACATCCATCCAGTAATTAAAACTGACAACAATTTTAATAAGTATTTAGTGCTGTCATTTTTATCATCATGACTTATGCTTAATGTCTTTACAGAGTTTTGCAAGTAGGTGACATTTGGATGTGGTCAGCTTCCTGTGGTCGGCCTGGATGACTCTTAAGAAAATATAAGGTTACTATAAAAGTCTATGTGAAAACATTTGGTGTTGTGTCACCTTCACGGAGCTAAGACCGGGCATACAGAGTTGCCTCCCCTGGACTTCGTTACCGGAACATGGGGTAACTGACTTGAACTGTTGACAGGTGGATGCCTGAAGCTGTAAATGGATGATTCTAGGACAGCCTACGAGTGACCGATTACATGATCACCAGTCCTCACAACCCAGATGATGACGTATCAGCCACTCCGCACACTGCAGACCCCCTTATTTACTACTGTTGTCGATTTTACAGGCTGGCAGAATAGCCTGAAACGGGGATTGGATGGACAAGCTCTGAGGCTTGGCTGACTGGGCCGATGGCCGTTTATCGTAGCTCATGTCGTTAGCATATAGTCACTTGTCAGGTTAAATCCCGAATCTAATACCTTGGTGAAGCTTCCCTATTACAGTTGTAACAACATGAACTGACAGTAACACCAGCAGCAAGCGATAAACAGCAATAGACAACACGACAGCAGTAAATCAACTCACTCGCCCAATTTTTTGCCCAACCATTAACCCAGTCACTCAACCAATAACTAACCCGTTCCCCCGGTGTCCTCCCATTTGTGAGAACTCCCAGTTGTGAGACACATTAATTAATGGTTCGGTGCACACAGGTAGAGCTTCCCCATCCCTACGATGAAAGTGGGAACAGCCCTGTTGCTGAAGAGTACCCGCAGGAGGCATAGTTCATTAATGGGTTAATTAACACAGAAGACATTGTTCATTGAAGAGCATTTATTGTTTTCAATAAAGAACAAGTTAAATACTGAAATACTGAAAAGATTATCATTATATTTAAACAGAAGAAATAGTTCATTAAATATTTCATGATGATTTTTGATTCACACATTTTGATGATTTGCGTTATAATGATGTTTGTGTGTCATTATAAAACACTTTTTTACATGGGTCCATATTTGGAGATTTTGACACTTTTCATATTGATCACGAAGTTACCTACACAAAGTGTTTATTTTTTAAAGCCATTTACCTGAGTAGGTTAATTACTTTATCTGTTAAGATAACTCCACAAGATTCAGTTAAATAGCTAATCCGAAATTAGCTGGGGTTAATCCATTCTATCAGATAGGGGAGTAAGGTGTGTTTTCTTTGCTACTTACCTACTCCACTGTCTCACAACTGGGAGTCTCACAAATGGGAGTAGACCCATTCCCTCCCCCAATCACTAACCTAATCACTCACCTAATCACAAACCCAATCACTGACATAATCAATAACCCAATCATACCACAAATCACTGACCCAATCACTGACATAATCAATAACCCAATCATACCACCAATCACTGACCCAATCACTGACATAATCAATAACCCAATCATACCACCAACCACTGACCCAATCACTGACATAATCAATAACCCAATCATACCACAAATCACTGACCCAATCACTGACATAATCAATAACCCAATCATACCACCAATCACTGACCCAATCACTGACATAATCACTCGCCCAATCATACCACCAATCACTGACCCAATCACTGACATAATCAATAACCCAATCATACCACCAATCACTGACCCAATCACTGACATAATCAATAACCCAATCATACCACCAATCACTGACCCAATCACGGACATAATCAATAACCCAATCATACCACAAATCACTGACCGAAATCACTGACATAATCAATAACCCAATCATACCACCAATCACTGACCCAATCACTGACATAATCAATAACCCAATCATACCACCAATCACTGACCGAAATCACTGACATAATCAATAACCCAATCATACCACTAATCACTGACCCAATCACTGACATAATCAATAACCCAATCATACCACCAATCACTGACCCAATCACTGACATAATCAATAACCCAATCATACCACTAATCACTGACCCAATCACTGACATAATCAATAGCAATCATACCACCAATCACTGACCCAATCACTGACATAATCAATAACTTGAATCATACCACCAATCCTTACCCAATCACTGACATAATCAATAACCCAATCATACCACCAACCACTGACCCAATCACTGACATAATCAATAACCCAATCATACCACCAATCACTGACCCAATCACTGACATAATCAATAACCCAATCATACCACCAACCACTGACCCAATCACTGACATAATCAATAACCCAATCATACCACCAATCACTGACCCAATCACTGACATAATCAATAACCCAATCATACCACCAATCACTGACCCAATCCCTACACCAACCACTCCCCTAATCAATCGCACGTAAGTAAAAGAAATCAGTGCAATGACAACAACCTGGACAGACCAACGAGTGCCTATGCAGCGTGGTAGCAGAAATACACGTGAATCAGTACTTTGTTATATTCCGCCATTTTGAAATACAACTCTTTCACCGTGGCCAGTGATGACAGAGCAATATAGATCAGCAGCAACCCACAACCAGCAACAGACAACACGACATCAGTAGTGAAACATGGTAATTCAGCCCTGGAACCACTTACTGGCAGAATACCACGACATCAGTAGTGAAACATGGTAATTCAGCCCTGGAACCACTTACTGGCAGAATACCAAACTTAATAGACGATGAAACGAAGATTGAGCTCCGATACCTACCAGCTGTGTGGATGAGATAACTCACTGAGAATGTCACCCCTATGTTCGACCTCAAGGCCATCCTGCCCAATTCCCCTCCTTCATCTCACTCAAAACAATGGAGCATCTACGAAATCGTCCAACCTCACACTTTTGTGTTCAGTTGAAAACGTGAAGCATGCAAAGATAAATCCCGACTCTACCTTGAATAACATCATATCTGTCTGCACCGCTGGTACTGTTTATACAGAACACTACAGCAGTCCACGAGGTAATAACATCAGCTACACACAGAACCACAAGCACAGTAACGTGGGGGTGGTGAGGTACGTCTCTAATTGTATTCTCCGTTCTGTTCCTCTCCCCATGAACCGTTGTCAAGGTAATTGCATAATTCAATGTTGTAAGACTGGATGCTGTAGCGGTGAAAAAATATAAGCTCTTCTGATCGCGTTTTATGCAATGGTTTTCGGTTTACGCTCTTCGAAGAAGAAAAAATCATTCACAACTCCCCAAACTAGACTCGGAGGTGACCATTCAAATTAATTACAAATATTTACTGTATTCTTAAAGAACAACTTTACAAACGTTTGACATCAGTCACAGTTTCGCCTCGTTTGGACAGCAATTCAATGAGGTTATGTTAGGGATAGATGACGCTCATCGATAACAAGAATCACCGAGAATGATGGTTGAGAGGAACTGAATAAATGACCGTGTTGATAACGGCGAAACTCAACCCAACAAAACATGTCAGCTCAAGTTGAAACCATTCCACATAATAAATAAATGTGTAGTGAAGAAAAAAACAACTATCAAATTCTCCATCCATGTTGTCAGAGTTTCAGAAAATATTCGGGGCCTTCTACATTCTATCAAATCGTCGTCATCTTTAAACTAATGTTGATGTATGTATGTATATATGCCATCTATGAAAACTGATGTGTATTCCGGATATGTGTAGGTCCACCTGTCTTACTGATCCAGCAGAGGGAAGGAAGTGGGGCCGGGAGGTGGTTTTGTGATGGAGGTGGGACGGGGAGGTGGTTTTGTGATGGAGGTGGGACCGGGAGGTGGTTTTGTGATGGAGGTGGAAGGAGGTGTGGGGAGGTGGTTTTGTGATGGAGGTGGGACATGGAGGTGGTTTTGTGATGGAGGTGGAAGGAGGTGTGGGGAGGTGGTTTTGTGATGGAGGTGGAAGGAGGTGGGACGGGGACGGACTGTTGTTACCTGTTGTAGGAAGCTGCAGTAGAAGGTGGAGCACAACTCTCAGGTATGTAACTGATACATTTGATGCTGATGTGTATCGTTTATAGACAGCTAAAAACATGACATGCAGCTTGAATCTCAACACACCATGTTGCTACTTGAAGATACGATACTAAGTACGTATTTGTTTTTGTGTTATGCTTGGATTCTATTCCTAGCAACCGAATTTCCCATATGTAATACGGTGTAGAAAGCAGATCCCTCCCCCATGCTGGTCCGGGATTCACTCTGGCTCAGATATGTGGAATAAAACTGTCTATAAACTAATACTGCACAGTCGCTATCAGAATATACGAGTATTGTGTCAGGTATACATTCTACACGGACCATGACGAACATACCGAGGCTGTATGTGGCGTGGCGTAGGGCTCGTTGTAGGATGTGTGTGCTCTGTATGTGTGTGGTGTGGCTGTGTGTGTGTGTTTGGTGTGGCTGTATGTGGCGTGACGTAGGCTCGGTGTAGGATGTGTGTGCTCTGTATGTGTGTGGTGTGGCTGTATGTGGCGTGACGTAGGCTCGGTGTAGGATGTGTGTGCTCTGTATGTGTTTGGTGTGGCTGTATGTGGCGTGACGTAGGCTCGGTGTAGGATGTGTGTGCTCTGTATGTGTGTGGTGTGGCGCAGCAGTGTCTGGTGTGGTGTGTTTGTGTTTAGTGTGGCTATGTGTGGTGTGTTTGTGTTTGATGTGGCTGTGTGTGGTGTGTATGTGTTTGATGTGGTTGTGTGTGGTGTGTATGTTTTTGATGTGGTTATGTGTGGTGTGTTTGTGTTTGGTGTGGTTGTGTGTGGTGTGTATGTGTTTGATGTGGCTGTGTGTGGTGTGTATGTTTTTGATGTGGCTGTGTGTGGTGTGTTTGTGTTTGGTGTGGCTGTGTGTGGTGTGTATGTGTTTGGTGTGGCTGTGTGTGGTGTGTTTGTGTTTGGTGTGGCTGTGTGTGGTGTGTTTGATGTGGCTGTGTGTGGTGTGTATGTGTTTGATGTGGTTGTGTGTGGTGTGTTTGTGTTTGGTGTGGCTGTGTGTGGTGTGTTTGTGTTTGATGTGGTTGTGTGTGGTGTGTTTGATGTGGCTGTGTGTGGTGTGTATGTGTTTTGTGTGGCTCGACAACGACATGAGAATCTATGTCGAAAACGTCGCATATATAGAATAAAGAAGTTGTATATCCATAAAAACAGTCCTCATCCTTTCTTGAATGTCTCTCAAACAGGTCGTGTCAAAAGTCAGTTCACAAATTCAGTATTGTGTGTCCACCATTGGCGTTGATGCAGGCTTGGCATGGCAAGACACACGCTCAGTTAAGGTTGAAAGAAACGCGTTTTCCACAACATTCGGAGACTAGACAATTATCAACCGTTCAACGGGGGACAAATCCGGTGATCGAGAAGGCCAAGGTAAAAACTGAACATTGTTTTACTGGAGGAAGACCTGTCAAACACGTGCAACGTGAGGTCGAGCATTGTCGTGCTCCAAAGATCACGTTTATGCAGTGAACGACGTGACGTTGAACTGGTCTTCTGGCAAATAGTCTGGCTTTCTATTGTCAATTGAGCACTGCCTGGTCGGAGATTCGGAGCAGTCCAGCTATTTGGATTGTTGTGAATGATGCAGCCGTGGTGTTTAAACGAAAAAGTCTCAACCGGATGTAGCGATCCTTGGCGTCCATAGGTTTAGATGGTCTGTCTGGATACGATGAGTGCCTTGCCACATCATGCTGCGATGTCCGTCTTTGTAAACGGCCGACGGCGTTGTGTCGTTGAGCTTCTGTCAGTCTTTTCATTCTCTTTTCGTCTATAGTGACTTAAAGCAATGCATGTGGGGTACCAATGATGTAGCTTTTTAAAGCCTACAGTCATAAGCTTCAGCTCAGGGTGATACACAATTTCATGATGCTCGTGCATTTGATGTAGGGCGCGTTTTAGCGATTCACTACAGACGTGAGTGTAACGTTACGTTTTGATAAAAGTTTCTTTTTTTCAAACGTTTTGTCGTCGGCAACCATTCCCCCACATGCTGGGATTCAGCATGGATTGGTTTATGTCAAATATTTTCCTAAAATTCACATTTGTCCTATGTCAAGTTTCTTCGGCTGAATAAACAGTCAGCTGGCAAGATTTCATTGACCTTTCAAACCATGTAAGTTTATGCTAGTATCACCACATGTGATAACACATCGATGTTAACAAGCCTCAGTATTGTATTGCACGTTATGTAAAAGTAATATTTGTTGTTGTTTTTTAGTTTATTTGTCGTTGTCGTGGTCGTCCGTGGCAGCAAGTGGTCGAAGCGGGAGTTAAATGTCGAGTTCTGGCGTGACAAGGTCTTATACGTATCTCCAGACAGGAGTGAGTGAGTAAATCGGGATTTACGCCGCTTTTAGCAATATTCCAGCAATACCACGAGGGGGGACACCAGAAATGGACTTCACACAAGGTGCCCATGTGGGGAATCGAACCCGGGTCTTCAGCGTGACGAGCGAACACCTTAACCACTAGGCTACCCCACCGCCCTCCCCCAAACAGGAAGATCTTCATTCTGTATACACGTTCACGATTATCCGTGACAGACTTGACCGTTCGAGAAGTTTCGGGATAGAATATTTTCTAAGAGGCTGGCTATTACTATGTAACAGTACTAGAGATCGAATGGAAGTCTCTTACATCATGACGTACGACGATATGCGTTCGCCTGGCTACCACAATGATCATATCGGCAACGACCAGCATAAAGTACCGGGGACGAATTCTAATCCCCATTTCTTCACCTACCACTGTTGCCCCGGAATGCTGGAGTCTTTCAGCGTGATGAAGGGAAGGAAGAACACGGACTTTGTGACGTCACCGACAGACAGGAGCTCGATCTGGCGCTCCAACCGCATCTGTACAGACACGGAATATAACACTGAAGAAACATTGGATTGGTAAGATGAATCAAATTGTAAACAGCTGGTAATGAAGCATCGTTTTAACCTTGTATTTTTGCTGGTATTATAAATGAACCCAAAACTTTGTGTGAAGTACAATACACTTTAAACATTTGGTGACCTATCATCGACGACGACGACGACGATAATTATGACGACGACGACGATGATGATATGGATGACGATGATGATGACGAAAAGGACAGTGTAGTACTGCGGATAGTAATGCTAATGATATAGGAAAGATAGACATGGTACTACTTGCCACCGAGACTTTGTGCAGCGTCGTGTTCCTCCTGATCGCCTCCAACATCAGCGACTCCATCTGCTTCAACTTGAAACAACAACGCTACACGTAAATATGTGGTAGATACACTGAAACCTCCTGAATCCAAACTCATAATAAACTGCGAGGGTGAGCACAAATGAAATGCAGTGAAGAGTTAAGATCGATGAAGAGATCGATCAATCGATTGATGTATAAGTAATTAATCAGAGATACATCACACGATGAACATGCATCTACACACCCATATCTAGTCAGGATACAGCACAACGTGATGCTGGGATACTGAACTGAGCATCACCATGACAACGACGTGTGTTACAGGTGTGTTACAGGTGTGTTACAGGTGTCATGAAGCACTTCAAAACATTCCCTGCTCATTAATATTTGTTAGGCTGACTAGTAAAACTATTGTGAAGCCTCCAGTGATGAGATGAGACTTACCTGCTGGGGAAGTAGTTGGAGCCGGGCGATGTAGTTTTCGAAGTCCCCGACGGTGTTGAACGGCATCATATTGACAAACGCGAGGGGGTTCCTCTGAATACCCTCCATGAAGTTCACCGGGTTCAGGCTGTAGCTGCAAACAGTGAGTGAGTGTTTGAGTTTATCGCCGCTTTGAGAGGTATTTGAGGTGTCTGAAACAGTCGTATTTCAGTTGTAGGTACGCTGAACGTGACACAGGTCATTGGCGTTTATAAATGTATAATTGTTACAAGGCAATATGAGTGTATAATGGTTACAAGGCAATATGAGTGTATAATGGCTACAAGGCAATATGAGTGTATAATGGTTACAAGGCAATATGAATGTATAATGGTTACAAGGCAATATGAGTGTATAATGGTTACAAGGCAATATGAGTGTATAATGGTTACAAGGCAATATGAGTGTATAACAGTTACAAGGCAATATGAGTGTATAATGGTTACAAGGCAATATGAGTGTATAATGGTTACAAGGCAATATGAGTGTATAATGGTTACAAGGTAATATGAGTGTATAATGGTTACAAGGCAATATGAGTGTATAATGGTTACAAGGCAATATGAGAGTATAATGGTTACAAGGCAATATGAGTGTATAATGGTTACAAGGCAACATGAGTGTATAATGGTTACAAGACAATATGAGTTTATAATGGTTACAAGGCAATATGAGTGTATAATGGTTACAAGGCAATGTGAGTGTATAATGGTTACAAGGCAATATGAGTGTATAATGGTTACAAGGCAACATGAGTGTATACAACATGAGCGTATAATGGTTACAAGGCAATATGAGTGTATAACGGTTACAAGGCAATATGAGTGTATAATGGTTACAAGGCAACATGAGTGTATACAACATGAGTGTATAATGGTTACAAGGCAATATGAGTGTATAATGGTTACAAGGCAATATGAGTGTATAATGGTTACAAGGCAATATGAGTGTATAATGGTTACAAGGCAATATGAGTGTATAATGGTTACAAGGCAATATGAGTGTATAATGGTTACAAGGCAATATGAGTGTATAATGGTTACAAGGCAATATGAGTGTATAATTGTTACAAGGCAATATAAGTGTATAACAGTTACAAGGCAATATGAGTGTATAATTGTTACAAGGCAATATGAGTATAATGGTTACAAGGCAATATGAGGGTATAATGGTTACAAGGCAATATGAGTGTATAATGGTTACAAGGCAATATGAGTGTATAATGGTTACAAGGCAATACGAGTGTATAATGGTTACAAGGCAATACGAGTGTATAATGGTTACAAGGCAATATGAGTGTATAATGGTTACAAGGAAATATGAGTGTATAATGGTTACAAGGAAATATGTATGTTTGCTTATTTTGTGCCAGACTCGGCAATACTCCGGCTACATGGCTGCCGTCCATTCCCCTCTGGACCAGACAATGCAGTATTTGATATCGTGAGCATGGATCTACTGAGTTGGGACACTGCATCAACCAAGTCATCGAGTCTGACCACCCGATCCCGTTAGTCGCCTCTTACGACAAGCATGGGATCAATTCTATTCTCGATCTTCATGTGGCTAAGAGACATTACGTGAGCAAAGCCTGCATAGACTGCCATCACGATGTACATTAACCTGCGATCGTAAAGTCGATTTAGAGAAGTAAACTTTATACTTATTGCTTGCTGAACATCTTCTTGTAGCACATAAACACTTAACACTGGTGATGACTGTTAAGTGTGAAAGAAATCAACGGAATACATGCAAATGTTTTCTCATTTAATGACCAGATTGGCCTCAAAGAATATAACATCTGTCGCACATCAATAATTGCAAGTATAGTTGATCTTTTGATGCAGTTACCTACTTCAAGAAGGAGTATCCTTCGATGAAGGTGTTGAGCATGTCGTACAGGATACTGTATGACGTCATGTCCGCACCGTCCAAGTCCTCAACGGATATGTTTCTAAGTTGCGACATCATGTCGTCAGCTACGGCCTGGAGGATGATTGGAACAGTTCGTGTGAGAGTTAAACAAGACAAACAGGTGGTTGATGATCTGAGCCATGACCAATAATCCTCACGGTTAAGTAGATAGTGTGTGCTAAGGTAGACAGTGCCGGAGATCTCACCCAAAGCTATCTGTAGGACACTCTACTTGTTGTTGCCTTGTCTGACGCTCTGCATTAAGGTGAGACTCGGCTGGTCGGCTCGGGAACAGTGTCCAGTGTAGTAGGACAGAGTCCACATAGTATCCAAGTTCCAGTTAGTGAGCTGACGCTGTAACACCGGTAGTAGTCTTCACTAGTGCGGCAACCTCAGGAATACGTACGTACGTACGAACACGTCGCCAAATATGCCATGTTGAATGCTACGTTGAGCCCCCTTTCCCTTCACCACCTGTGTAAGGTAGTTTATTGTATCCCACACATGCGTCTGGGCTCAGCTTCTCTAACGTCTTTGAAAGTCATTTTGCAGTTGGAGTACCAAGTAAGGATAATATACACATGGATGAACAACTTTGTTATTACAATAAGGGACGACGTTTCGATGTTGATTCTACCAATGTTATCAAGCGAGTGATGTACAAGGAGTGCAATGAGGCTTATATACAGATATGAAGTAATGTTTTATGATAGTGTAGAGAAGCCTGTAGAGAAGCCTGTTTGGCATACACTGCAGAAAATTAGTGACCATACCGCAGTTTACCATCAACTCATCAAACGTCCTAATCTGACATAATCCTTCTGGGTGTTTACACGACTGGCTCATTTGGTAATGACTAAAATTTACCTTCTGACCTGTCGCCCTGTCAACCTCACCTTATTGTCCTTCAGTTTGTCCAGACTCAGGACCTCGAGGTCATCGTTGTAGTTGTAGATGTTCCTCTTGGTGGCCTGTAGAGGTCGTTCACTCATGCGCCAATCGAAGAACTTATTTCCCAGAGCGTACAACTCCGCTGATTCGCTCTCCGCTGGAACAGAGAGGAACATGATTACAGTGAGTTGGGCTCATATCAGGGACCACTATCTAGGGGTTAAATGTACACATGGATCTGGAGAATCTCAACAGGGCTTTAGGTAGGAAGCAGCAACTCGTATGCTGTCTGGCCCCATCTGCCCTGCCCCGTTCATTGTAATAGCATGGAGATTCACCGCCTTCCCAGAATACCCTGTTACATGGTCTGACATCCCCACATCTCCATACTTCGTTTGCTACAAAGTTGTTCAAATAGGTTACATCATTCAAGTAAAGCTGCTATAAAGATGTACAGTAGATATGTGAATGACTGTTTCATATTTCATCAGTGATGAAACTGATGTTGTTCCCTAGAGTATTCATGTTTACACTTCACTTGCCTGTGCATGTGTTTGTGACCAAAAAAGGGCACAGGATACACTCAACCTTTCACAAATACTTGGTATCGCAATGTATCACTCATGCATACATTTGTTGATGGTATCTCAGTCTGGACTATGCTTTCGGCAGAGTTTCTGACAGTCCAGGGAACTGACTCTTGATCACTGCTTACCTTGTGAGTAGAGCGTGATGATACACAACACTGCTAGCTGGAATGTAACGGACCCCATTCTGAAACCATAAATAACATGTTGTTATGCATTTAGTAGTAGTTATACTAGCGGGAGAAGAGGTGGGAGCAGAGGGAGTCGTTGTCGCTGGAGCAGTAGCTATAGTAGGACAGGCACAATGCCATCTTCATGCAGCAGTTAGTGTCCGATAGCTACAGAACAACTGAGAACTAATGTGTTTCTCTACTTTGTATCATATCTTAGAGTGGTATATCCGTGTTATGCGTTGACCCTGAGGTGTCCTTGATTAACACTGTGTGCGCCTTATTATCGCACTTCCCACAGCGAGTTTTGACTGGAACCAACAGGTATTTGGTCGTGTGCACAATGTAAAGGTATCACTCGGGTAAGTTAAGAAAGGTCGATGACGGAGTGTAGTTGGATGGGTGACCACGGTTACCAGTTCAATTCCTATACAGACTTTGGTCCCACCCCAGATTCCTGCACATGTGTCTGATCAGGTAAATGTTGGAAGAATATGTCAGCTCTACTAGCAGTACAACTGGGACCTCGGCTGGACGAAAATGCCAGCACCGGACAGGGCAGCCTGGGTTGAATACTAGCCACGGAGCTGAGCGATAAAACGAGTGCACACGAACTCACTGACCGGATTATGATTTATCTCTCTGACCATGCACCTCGTGAATGGAGCGCAGTATAAATAAACACAATATAAACATGAATCACGGATAACGATAAAAACGATATTACTTGATTTAAAACGCATTGGAAGGCAAAAAGGATACCAGTACCCATGTATCACCAGACAGGGTAACAACAAGTACCGCTTTTTAAGGTTATTGGTCTGACGCAGCCAGGTGACGATCAACCGATCTTCATTTCTCCTGGAGACAATCTGTCCACTATACCACATAGGCAGTTGTTAAGGAAGCAGAAAATGAGGATCAGGTCGTCGCAATGTCGGAGCTACCTGCTGTGTGTCGCCGTACACCGACGTTCATGACATCACCCACTGGTCGACCCATCCATCCGCGATTACCTTCTACTTCATGACATCACCCACTGGTCGACCCATCCATCCGCGATTACCTTCTACTTGTCGTGGTACAAACTGAACATTGACTGGCGTAATACTACATTCACTCACTCACCCTTCAATAAGATGTTACAAATCAAGGTCTGCGGAACCGCTCAGCCTATTCTCATACTTGTTTCCCCATAATGACTTCCGCCATATAATATTCCATCATCCGGCTAGGTACCATCATGCTTGTTTAATGCGAAACTGCAATTACTTCTGCTGTGATCATTGCCGCGCAGTGCAGGGATCCTGTTTGTTTTCAGGTGATTGATGCTGATATTAGAAGAGGAATGTGATGTGTGTAGCAGAGCCGGCATTTCCACTGGAAACACGAAGCAAGTTGCCCAACGTGGCCATGCCACCCTCTGGCGCCCTAGACAGAACATCAGCTTACCAGTCGAGAAACCAGTCCATGAGTACTGCAGCGACCTTAGATCTGCTGACAGGGACAGTGTTGGATGTAAAGGCTGCTCGCTGACTATACGTGACTTTTTCCATCTCTTCCACGGACTCCCCACTAATTCCAAAGGTTCGATACTATTTCCACAGCTTGTACACTATGTCCACAGACTCTACACTATGTCCACAGACTCTACACTATGTCCACAGACTCTACACTATGTCCACAGACTCTACACTATGTCCACAGACTTTTTTCTCCACAGTCTATACTCAATTTCCACAGACTCTTCTCTATTTCCGCACACTCTACTCGATTTCCACAGATTCTACACTATCTCCACAGATTCTGCTCTATTTGCACAAATTCTGCACTATTTCCAAAGACTACTCTATTTCTATAGATTCATCAGACACCTCCTTCCCTCCCACCCCAACTACCTGTCTATGATAGTTTTGCCTTTCCAAATCTGATCCTAACACTTTGCAGTTCCGCCAGTTCAGATTCTCTTGTCGTATTGCAGAGATGCAATACCAGTGTTTATTGTGGCAGTGATGAGAACGGTTTCCACTGACTCTGCCACGTTAGTGCGGCGACGGCGCTGGGTAACGTGATCGTCGTTTTCTGTAGATACACTTGTGTGCACATGAGCTCTGCCTATTGTTTACGTGGAATAGCTATGTCTGTTTAAATCTTATAATCACCAAAAGACGTTCCAAGTTATCTCTGCGGTGTTGGAACAGTAACCTGATGTAGAAATGTGCAGAAACTCTTCTGTTCTGCCAATTCCGAGGACGTTGTGTCATGTCTAATGTGCACCCATGTAAGATGGTACTTGCAGCCAACGTGGAATTATCTGACCGCTGATTGGTCAGTTATGCGTCCAGTAATACATTCCAGCAGTTGTTGATGCTCGAAGGAATCTATCGCCTAGTTATGAAGTCACGGATAGATCACGTATATGTGACGTCATTCGCGATCGGCGCTTTAGTGACGATTACCTATTTTGCTGATCAGCTGATGACTTACCTGTTAATTGTGGACAACATTCAGCTTCCGTAAGACCGATCGACTGGCTTTATCCTGCAAAGACGGGGCATGGCATGTTTGTGTGTCCAACCTTGACATCATCCAACACAACGAGCAGCTATTACATGAAACCAGTCAAATAACGTAATCAAACCTTCTGGTAATAAAGAATGCCACACGTTTCACGATAGTTTTCTAATGAGAAGTATGTTTTTAGCTATTGCAAGACGCGTTTCAGTGAATATTATCATTATGTTCTGTTATAAACCCAATTGTTCTGCTCTCTGGTTGTCAGCCACGCTTTGAAACTCATGACGTCAGGTCATGTCACCTGGTACCATGCAACTGAAATGCTCAAGCGAAAGTTCAGGAATCCAGTCTTGCGTTCTTACCATTCATTGACGTCATGACGCGTGGCCCATCATTTTCCTGCTGACCTAATATGACACCGCACCTAAAGACACCATGATAAATACTATGGCGTCATGGTTAGGATGCCTTGTGTTTACGTAGACTGGTTCCGTTTCGCTCATGCGATGGCACCTGACTGGAGCCAGGTGGAGACTTCTGAAACCAGTCTAGTGTTTTACCAAGTCTCTGGGTTCCTTGCAGTCAGACTCAGACCTCCTGTCACAGGCCTCCGACATGTGACTATCATTCGTTGAGAATATATCCTTAAACGTAAACTCCACTTCCTCAGAGTAATCGCCCTTTGTTTAAGATGATTATGCTGTGTACGGCTCAACGTGAGGACATCGAAGTCTGAACTGCTGACGAAACGCGGCTCAACGTAAGGACATCGAAGTCTGAACTGCTGACGAAACGCGGCTCAACGTGAGGACATCGAAGTCTGAACTGCTGACGAAACGCGACTCAACGTGAGGACATCGAAGTCTGAACTGCTGACGAAACGCGGCTCAACGTAAGGACATCGAAGTCTGAACTGCTGACGAAACGCGGCTCAACGTGAGGACATCGAAGTCTGAACTGCTGACGAAACGCGACTCAACGTGAGGACATCGAAGTCTGAACTGCTGACGAAACGCGGCTCAACGTGAGGACATCGAAGTCTGAACTGCTGACGAAACGCGACTCAACGTGAGGACATCGAAGTCTGAACTGCTGACGAAACGCGGCCACTTCAAGTTGTAAAGTAACTCTCCTCCCAGCTGTAGTGATCGTATACATAAGCTTAGTGCCGCATGAATTATATTCAAGTTACCCTAACTCTGAATTTCTCTTCACTTGATTATTTCCTTGCTATTCCCAGTTTCTTTCAAACACTCGACATTTCTATAATGGAATTAGCGAGAACATAGTCGAAGCAACAGTAAATACTCGAAGGAATGAGAAAATACTCTAAATTTCGAGAAATTTGAAATAACGCGAGAAAAATCGATGAAGCAAGAAAATACTCGAACCAACGAGAAAATACTCGAAATAATTTATGAGGTTCGTGACCTCCGAATAATTTATGTTACAATATTAAAAGAGGCAGTATTCGGCTTTCGTAATCGGTTTGCATATAACATTGCACAACAATATTAAAGAACACTGAACTGCTTCCGTCAGGCCAATCTGCTGTTATTTCAGAATAAGCAACTTTGTTTACATACGAAAGAAAAGTCCGGTCACGTGATATGCAGACATGCATTAGAAGTGTTAAGTCGTCGCTGCGCCGGAGTGTAGATGTTTTCACAAGAAGGCAACTGGCCAACGAGGTGGCGAGACGCTATTGCTGTAACGGTAATTGTTTACCGCAATCCCCTCCCACCCTCATGTCGTCATCATTCATTTTCTCGAAGAAGTCATCTTCCGTCCATTCCACAGGTTGTATATCGAAGTCATAAATATATCGACTGTTCCTTTCCATCATTGTGTTTAACATCTGTATACAATCATAACTCAACTATTTCTGTCGTGTGTTGACTCAACCCCTCTTGGTGCAAGCATATTGTACAGACATTCGCATTCTTCAACCAGCTATTTTAATACAACTTAGTGTCGGTGTAATTGTTACAGCCAATATGTCTGTCAATCTGTTTAAATCAAACATTTCGACAGTTCTTTTCACAAACTCAAAAGTCTGAACTAGGATCACTGTGTTGCTGGTTTATCTTCAACACAATATACTGTGATACAAATGAGATTCGCCAAAAGAACATTTTCCCTGGTAAACACCACAAATAGTTCTAGAACTCGGTCAAGGCAGTAAGAGTCTCCGTACAGGAATGTTAATCATGATCATAACGAGTATAGGGGAGGCATGCCCACATCTCTCCATGTGGTCATGATATCCTCAAATAACACACACACTCACGGTGCTAATTGACCTGTCACTGTAAACCAGGCTTCAACGCTCAACAGGTACTTGCTCGGGATTGAACCGGAAACTCTTCAACTGATGCTAATAATAGACTCCATTCACAAACTCCTAACGTAAACATGCCTTTGACCCCGAGCATGAAATATGTTTGTGTTTACTCTCCGGGGTAACACACCAATAACTATTTAGCCTTTAATGATCAGA